ATCGGCCCCGGGTCCGTCCAGCTCCGGAGCCGCCGCCGCCCCAGCCCGCCGCCTGCGCTGAAGGTGAGCTCCCGGTTCTGCAGCCGCACCGGCTCCGAGGGGCCGCCGAGAGCCCCGCCCGGGGCGCCCCGTCCCTCCCGCTCCCATCCCTCCTCCGCGCAGGTCCCTTCCCCGGAGCCGCGGGCTCCCCGGTGCTTCCCGCCGGCGCCTCGGTCCCAGCGGCCACACCCGAGCCCTCTCTGCCTGCGGGGCGCCGCGCATCCCCGAACCCGAACCCCGATCCGCCCTCCGCCCTGCGCCTGAGCCACCCGCGCCCCCTCACCCCGCCCCGGGGCCCCGGAGCGCCTTCCCGCCGCCCTGGGTCCCACCCGCTCCGGCTGGGAGCACCGGGGCCAGGGCGAGGGCTCGTATTTTTAGCGGATGGTGAGGTGTCCTCCTATCTTTAGCCGCGGCCGGGAGCCTCCTGAAACGGATCCGGGCTGGGCAGGGCTGGGCTGGGCTGGGCTAGCTGCGCCCGGGGAGGGCGGGGAGGGATCGGCAGGAACCCGGGCTGGGGCGGAGGAGCGGGCCGGCCGCGGGAGCCGGGGGCGGGGGCCGCACGCCGCGCTCTGGCCCGGCGCCGAGTGGACACTCGGACGTCGCCCAGCCGGAAAGCGCGGGGGGCGGGGAGGACCCTCCCAGAGCTGGGGGACCCGCGCAGGGTCCCGATCGCCCCTTTTCCCGGCGGTTGTCTGGTTGTGAGACAGAACCCCCCTCGCACCGCCAAGAAGAGAAGATCCCGCAGGCCCTCCGCGTCTGGCGCGCGGACGGGAGGCTCCGGGGGCGCCCGCCTGGGGCCGGAGGCGCCGGGGACCCCCTCGCGCGCCCGGGCTCCTCGGGGGACTCGGAGCCACAGACCAGAGCGCGCGCGCCACCTAGCGGCCGCGGGTTGCAGCGCCGCCCCGGGATCAGCCCCCGCCCTCCCCGCCCCCCAACTCCCCGCCCCCCCAGGCCTGCGAGGGGGATCCGCTGGCTGTGCCGGGCGGGCGGGCGGGCGGGAGGAGGTGGACGCCTGAGGTCAGGGGATCTTGTTTTTATGATCTTGTTGGGAGCGCTGTGTCCAGATCACAGAAGTGCTGGGGAAGGCCCTGCCGCCGGTTGCTGAACAGCAGGCCCGGCGGGCAGGGACACTGCTGCTCTCCATTGCAGCACAGCGGGAGGGTCTCCGGGAGCCCTGGTGATGGCTTCATTGTCAGCCCATTTGATGGATGGGGGAGATGAGGACCAGAGAGGAAAGGTGTCTTTCCCCAAGTCAGAGTGAATCCTAAGTGGGGATGGATTTAAGGTCGGTCTCCTGATTTTGAGGTCAGGCTGATAGGGGTAGGGAGTGGTCTGGTATTCCTGGTGATGGGAGGTCACCTTCTCTGAAGGAGGCCCCGCGTGGCCGGTCCGAGCTTCAGCTTCTGCTTCTGCAAAAGGCAGTGCTGACGCCCGCCGTGCTGGGTCTGGGAGCGTTAACTGGAAGCTGTGGAGGGCGGCGGGAGACGGGTCTGTGGTTGCCAAATGTGAATTCTTGCGGCTTGATGGTTGCAGTTCTCAGCTCTCCCCTGGGTGGCTGATGCTGGCCCAGCCCTTCCTCGATAGCCTGCTCTCCCACATCTGGAATTGGGCGGTACATCTGGCTCTGAGCGAGGCAGCTGTCAGGGACGCCCAATTTGTTGTGGAAACGCTCAGGCTGTTTTGGCGCCCCTGTGTAATGGGGGGAGGGGGACCTGGCCCAGGCTCTGAGCGATCCCACCCGGCAGCCCCACTGTCCGTGAGCAAAGAGGGAGGAAAAGCCGCCCAGGACTTCCCGCCTGGCCTGGCCTGCCGAGGAGACAGACAGAACGTGTGTCAGTATGCGCCCCAGGCCTGGCACGATGGGCATCTGTTGGGTGAATGAGGGGACTCGAGGACCTGAGGCACCCGTGGCCGCCCCCTCCTCCCCCCAGCTCCTTCCAAGCTCAGCTGGAACCCACCCTGCGGACTGAGTCTGTTTCCTGTGAAGCTGCAGGTGCTTGGGGAGGGGCAAGATGTCCGGACCCTGTGGCTCAGCGTGACTGACCCTGGGTGTCCGGTGCTGGGTGGGGTTTCCTCAGGGAGGGCCTGGGCTGAGGGGGTGATTCTGCCACGTCTGCATCCTCTGCCTCCTCCTGCCAGCCCCTCACCCTCCCTTCACCGTCCTCCCCTCACCGGCCCAGGATACCCAGCTGCTCAGCCCCTCCCTGGCTGGGTCCCACTTGCTCAACCCCTGCCGGCCCGACGGGGCAGAGGGAGCTGGTGAGGCCATGTGGGTGCCCGCTGGGTGACCTTGGACACGGTCCTTCCTTTGCCTTTTGTGCTCGGATTCCACATCTGTGTCCAGTATCAGGGCCACTCCCTCCCCGTGAGAACTGGAGCGAGTCCTCGGAAGGCTTCCTGTTACCCCAGTGTGACACCCCTTCAGGGTGTGTCTGTTTTTCCCACATTAAAAATTGCTTTCTTTTCCTGATTTTATAAATAATATGCACGTGAATAATATAAGCTTATTAAGAACCTGAGTTTATAAAAGTATGAACAAGCAAAGCAGAGTCACCAGAAATATTACCACCTTAGAGAAGCACCATCAATATTTTAACCGCCATCCTTTCATATTTACATACTTTATTTTATAGGAACAGGGCTAAATATTAGATAATTTTTATTGAGGACACCTTTCCTCTCACATTACTCACCTCACATTCCATCCCTGCCCCTTTCCCCCCCATTCTAGTCTGGGTAGCACATATGAGACATCTAGTGCTGGCCTTCCATATTCTTCTCTGTTCACATGTAGAATAAAATTCTATGCGGATTGTATGTAGGTACATATGCATGTGTATATGGGGAGTGGGAGGGGAGTTGGTCAAGGCTTCCAATAAATGGAATCTTCTAGACTGCATTTTTGCATTTTGCTTCTCTCCCTCTGCAGTGCCTTGTGGGAATTCTTCCAATATATTAGAGCTCCAGTTTGTTTTGATTTATCCTCACCCACGGATATTTTCCCATTGATCTCTTAGAGAGAGTGGGAGAGGGAAAGACAGAGAAACATCGATGTGAGAGAAACACATCGATTGGTTGCTTCCTGCATGTGCCCTGACCAGGGCCTGGGCCAGAGTGCAACCAAGGTACATGCCCTTGACTGGAATCCAACCCAGGACCCTTCGGTCCACAAGCCGGCACTCTATCCACCGAGCCAAACCAGCTTATTAGTCAACAGAGCCAAATAGCAACAGTACAACAATTGAACTTTCTTCTGAGAGCCACATTTTTTAAACTTAAACTTCTTCTAACGCCACTTCTTCAAAATAGACTCGCCCAGGCCGTGGTATTTTGTGGAAGAGCCACACTCAAGGGGCCAAAGAGCTGCATGTGGCTCGAGAGCCGCAGTTTGCCGACCACGGAGCTAGGGCATAGCTCCAGTTCCTAAATGGGGATGATAGGAGGGTGGTTGTGATAACTAAATGAGGTGTATTTACAAAGAACTCAGCAAAATGCCAAAGAACAGAGACCCTTCCCATCTGGTCCCTCCCATCCATCTTCCCCTTAGGTGCTAGGGCAGGGAGAGGGACAGAAACTACCTTAGACTCAGCCCCTGCCCGTTAGGAACTCCTGACCAGGAGGAGGAGAAAAGAAATTGTGGGGTGACCTCACTTCCAGGTGGGGTGTGATTGGGCCAAATGAAGGGCAGGGCGGGAGGGGCATCTCAGTTACAAGGCTCTGCCAGCTGAACACCTACTGTGTGTCCAGCCCTGTGCCAGGCCTGGGTGGGTGAGAGAGAGGCTACAAGATCTCTGTCCTGCCGAAACTGGTTTGGCTCAATGGCTAGAGCGTCGGCTTGGGGACTGAAAGGTCCCGGGTTTGATTCCGGTCAAGGGTATGTACCTTGGTTGTGGGCATATCCCCAGTAGGGGATGTGCAAGAGGCAGCTGATCGATGACTCTCTCTCATCGATGTTTCTAGCTCTCTATCTCTCTCCCTTTCTCTCTGTGAAAAATCAATAAAATATATTTTAAAAAAAAAATCTTTGTCCTCTGCCAGGTAGGGAACTGAGACCAGTCTATGGGAGCCCAGGCAGTTTGGCACCTGCCTGCCATTTCCTGGGGTGCCAGTGAGCGAGTGAGCGCCTGGGCCATGGTGATGAGCAGAGCCAGGGACCCAGGGCAAGGGGCAGAGCCAGGACTCTTTTTTAAATCCTCACCCGAGGATATTTTTCCCATTGATTTTTAGAGAGAATAAAAGGGAGGGGGGATGGAGAGAGAGAGAGAAACATCGATGTCAGAGAGACACATTAATTGGTTGCTTCCTGCACAGACAACCGAGGGACGTGCCCTTGACCAGGAATCGAACCTTCAGTCTGCGCTGACACTCTAACCACTGAGCAAACCCAGCCAGGGCCAGAGCCGGGACTTTGTATGGGACTTCGGGCCTGTCATTCAGGTTCCAGGGCCTCAGTTTCCCCTTCTGTAAGAGAGCGGCTTGGCATTGGTGACCCAGGCCCGTGGGTGCAGCGGGCCTAGGACCGAGCGATCTCCCTCCAGCAGGGCCCTGCATGCGGGCTCCCGGGGCTGGCACTGCTCCCTCTGCCTCTTGTCCCTCCGTCCCTGACTTATGTTTCTTTCAGCTCCTCAGCCCGGACCAGGGAGACACTCCCAGGGGCCAGCCCGGGGAGCACAGCTGCCTACGATCACCTTCCTGCTGCCAGCTCCAGAGTGCTCCACCCTTTGGAGAGAGTGTGACTTCCTGACTTCAGCAACATTCGTCTCTCTTTTTCTAATTCCGTGGGCCGACTGTGCCCACGCCCGCCCCCTGCTCCCTGCCCTCGCTCCGCAGGGTTTTGGTGCCTGAAAACCACCCTCCGGTTGGGGTGTCCCCGGGCGAGTGTCGAGAGGGGCAGCCGGAGCCTGTGGTCTCGGCGATCGGACGGCCTCCAGCCTCGGAGCCAGGCCCGTGGCGAGCTCGCCATGTCCACCAAGGCACCCATCTACCTGAAGCGAGGCAGCCGCAAGGGCAAGAAGGAGAAGCTCCGGGACCTGCTGTCCTCGGACATGATCAGCCCGCCGCTGGGCGACTTCCGCCACACCATCCACATCGGCAGCGGCGGGGGCGGCGACATGTTCGGGGACATCTCCTTCCTGCAGGGCAAGTTCCACCTCCTCCCGGGGACGGCCGTCGAGGGGCCCGAGGAGGACGGCAGCTTCGCCCTCCCCTTCCAGTTCGCCCCCGCCGCCCTGTGCGGGCAGGAGCTCCCCGCGGGGCCGTCCCCGCTGCTCAAGAACGCCATCTCCCTCCCCGTCATCGGCGGGCCCCAGGCCCTCACCCTGCCCACGGCCCAGGCCCCCCCCAAGCCGCCGCGCCTGCACCTGGAGACCCCGCAGCCGTCCCCGCAGCCGTCCCCGCAGGAGGCGGGGGGTGTGGACGTGTGGAGGATTCCAGAGGCCGGCTCGGCCCCCAACGGGCTGACCCCTGAGTCGGGGGCTGAGGAGCCCTTCCTGTCCCACGCCAGCTCCCTGCTCTCCCTGCACGTGGACCTGGGGCCGTCCATCCTGGACGACGTGCTCCAGATCATGGACCAGGACCTGCAGGTCCGCACATAGGACCGGGGCGAGCCGGCCTGGAAGCCTGGGCTGGGGTGAACGCCGGGAAAGGGACATGGCCCGGGCTTGTGTGGTCACTGGCCAGAGAGTTCTCACGTTGAGCCTGTGTTGGCCTCCCTTCCCCCTCTCTCCATGGACAGAGTACACCTCACTGCGTTCCCCGACTCAGCCCAAAGAGCCCTGAGCATGTTGGCCACCTGGGCCCCCACGACCAACCGCTCCTCCCTCCCTCAGACCTCTGGGGTGGAGACTCTGCGGAAATGGACTCCCCTTTCACCTCCCTTCTGCCTTGGCCCCCTCGGATGCCCTGACTGGGGGGCAGGGAAGAGGCAGGGCACAGACCTTTGGTGTCATGTCCTGGACGGGAAGCATGGCCTCCATGACCGGATGCCCCTCTGCCCCACCCCCTTCCACATGACCAAGGGTTCTGGTCGCAATAAAACCTGCTGCTGCTCATAGTTGTGCTCCCTGTACCCTTGTCCCTGAAGACAGGCGGGTCTGCAGCCTGGGCTGACCCTGCGGCAGGGGGTGTGAGTGGGGGGGGGTGGGGACACCCCAGCTCCTGGCTTCGGGAGATGTTTCCTGATTCTAAGGGCCTGGGACTGGGAGGGACCCGGCAGCGCTACCAGTGCTGTCTATGGAGCACTTGCAGTGAACCTGGGGTGCTCCAGGTGCGGGGACACCGGACAGACATGGTCCCTGAAGCTGATGTTCTAGGAGGAGAAAGATACTAAGTTTGTAAGCAAGGAAGCTGATTCTCAAGTGTTGAGCACTGTGAGAAAACGAGTTGATCGGAAATACCTGGGGCGAGTGGTGCGGTGGTGTCGGGGCACCTGAGGATGATCACATGTGATTCTGAGCCAAACCTGGGGCACTTATTAATCGGTACTTGTTCCCGGCAGATATTTACATGCTTGTCTTTACCTTAAACACAGTAAGCCGTGTTAGTTTACGGCCATTATCAGATAACTCCGGAATCTTAAATCTTTGTGGGTCGGTTTATGATTTCTGATGTGCGTGTCAGTTCCTGTGCAGGGTTTCTTATTTCTCTGTGTGCCTGATTACCTTTGACTACAGACTGAATATCATATCTGAAGAACGGTGTTTAGAAGTAATTTGAAGCCTCGGGCGACAGTACATTCCTTCAGAAAGGACAGTGCTTGTTACTAAATATGCTTGCCTCTGCCAGGTGACTAGGGGCACGATAAGGATGGGTCCAGCTGAATCCAAGTTCAAGGCTTAAGCATCCCTGGACCACCCAGGTGATATGATTCTGGGCTGCATGTTCATGCAAGTAGGGGTCTCATCTTAAAGTGTGTGTGCTGGTGGAGTATTGGACTTCCTACCTTGGGCAGGCTCTGGGTTTTGATTTTTGGCCCTCCCCACCAAAGACGGCCAAACAACAGCTCAGTTTCACCGTTATATCTTCCAGATCGATAAATGTCTCCAGAATAAAAATTGTTTTGAATTCTGGGCTTACCTCTCTGGGTTTGAGCCTCCTAAATGTTGGCCCAGTGATCCTTCACTATAGTATTAGCTTTGCAATGCTTTTCAGATTTTTTTATTGTTGTTCACATTCTCTGATTTTTCATTTGTCTTCAGTGGGAATGTTGGAAATAACCAGGAGCCTGTTTCCAATTAACTGAATGTAATATTAAGAAAACCCCCTGGGTTTCATTTATATATCTTTCCCCACTGGGTAATAGCAGTCCTGTTACCCCTTATCAATTAGCATCAATCACCCCAACCGAAAGTAGTACCCTGTTTTTACTTTCTGGCCCAGTGGATGTAGAATGCAAAATGCCCCGTTGGCAAGCTCAGCTCCTGACTTAGAGAAATCATTTTGTGCCCCCTGGTGGAAACATAACTCCTTCTGGTCCTTAAAGGGAGATCAGCCGGTGCCAGAAGCGACTGACAGGCACGGGGAACATTTTGCAAAAGTCTTTAGTTCAGATGGCAAGTGGCTGCACCCCCTCCATCCACTCCTCGGTTTCTGTCTGTGAGAGGAACGCGTTATGACTGCTCGCTGGTTCTGAGCACATAGAGTATCTATTATTCAGTGATATAGCATTTCTTTCTTCTTTTTTTAAAAAATATATTTTATTGATTTTTCACAGAGAGGAAGAGAGAGGGATAGAGAGTTAGAAACATTGATGAGAGAGAAACATCGACCAGCTGCTTCCTGCACACCCCCAACTGGGGATGTGCCCGCAACCAAGATACATGCCCTTGACCGGAATCGAACCTGGGACCTTTCAATCCGCAGACTGACGCTCTATCCACTGAGCCAAACCAGTTTCAGCTACAGCATTTCTTAAAAGGACCCTGCAAGAACGGAAAGCCATGATGCTGTGCTCATAAACTGCCTTCCCAATGAGACAGAACCAGCCTGCTTATTAACACTTTTCATTTAAAAATTTTTTATTGAATTATACATACGGAGAAGTGCACAAATCTTGTGTAGTTCAAATAATTTGTTCAAAGTGAACAAACCTATGTAACTACTACCAAGGGGAAGAAAAGGAACATTCCTAGCACCCCAGTCACCAACTCATGCCCCCTCCTTGCCACTGAAAGGTAACACTCTGGAAATCATACAGGATGTCCTTTTTAAAAAAAAAAAAAAAAAAAAAAAAAAAAAAAAAATATATATATATATATATATATATATATATATATATATATATATATTTCATTGATTTTACACAGAGAGGAAGGGAGAGAGATAGAGAGCCAGAAACGTCGATGAGAGAGAAACATTGACCATCCGCTTCCTGCACACCCCCCACTGGGGATGTGCCTGCAACCAGATGATTCTGGTCAAGGGCATGTACCTGGGTTGCGGGCACATCCCCAGTGGGGGGTGTGCAGGAGGCGGCTGGTTGATGTTTCTCTCTCAACGTACATGCCCTTGACCGGAATCGAACCTGGGACCTTTCAGTCCGCAGGCCGATGCTCTATCCACTGAGCCACACCGGTTTCGGCATCACATACTTTTGATTCCTTGATCGAGTCAACTCCCGGTACCCTTTATCCCACAGTCATTTGGGACAGGTATCTCTGGGGTCCTCCGAGCTGCTGACACCTACCATAGTCTGCAAGTTTGGTACAAGGGGTAGGTAGTGACAAATATCTCAACACTCTCATCTGCCAAACAATTTTGACGGTAAGACGTGTCCTGATTCTGAAATATTAAAAGCGAGCGAGAGGGCAGGAGCTATGTGTATTTTGGAATTGATGAAATAGGTAAATGACAAGGACCAAAAACCAAGCTCTAATAGTTATAGGTGGAACAGAGGACAGAGAGTCAATAGGCTGCTGGACTGACAGTGTGATGGGACAGCCAGGTGCATGTTTCAGAAACCTGGAGCAAAGTTGGAAAAGGAGGGACTGGTCACTGGTGCCACGGGAGTTGACAGGCTGTTGAGGACAACAGAGAAGGGATCTCTAACTTATTGAAATGGACGTCATGGTGACTTTGTTAGGAGCGGTTTCAAGTGACTTTGTGGGTACAAAACCCCCTTTAAATTCGGTGGAAAGACTTGGAAATAAGTCAACAGAAATAGGAAGTATAAACAGAACACTGGCTATAAAAAGGTGAAAAAAATCAAAGGCAGTCATAAGCTCAAGGAAGAGGTTTGCTCTTTTTTTTTTTTTTTTTTTTTTTTTTTTAATACTAAGCCATGTTTGTACACACATTTGCATGATTCGACAGTGAAGGAGAAGTGAGTGGTACAGGAAGAGGGGTAGGTGCAGTGTTGTAGTGTACCCCGAATCTCACAGAGGGCGCCTCACCAAGAAGTCTATTATGGAGTCATTTATGAAAGGCCGGCAGCTTAGGAGGGCCAATCAGCACTCCAAATCTCGCAGCCCCAAATGCTTGCCACATCTGGTAGCAGAATACCACAAAGGTACCGATTACATCTTTGGGTTTGGAACGAGGAACCTGGTTTGCCCAAAGCAGTTACAGAAGCGAAATTGAGCAAGTTAGTTATCTATACAGATTAAGTATAGTTTTGGGTCTACAGATCACTGAGTCAACAGAAACACATTATCTGGAGCCACTGAGGCAATTGAGGGTAATTGTGCTGTCCTGGTTCCCAGGTACAGAAGAATGTGCCTAGATAACCGGTAAGATCACAATCAATGGGGTATGCAAACCACCATCCATGGAGTATTCAATCGATTGGGATAGCATACATAAGTTCATAAAATCAAAATAACGTTTCTATCGTTTTAGCGAGCAAGTAAGTACAGAACCCAGAACAGCAGGGTTAAAGTTAAAACTGCAGCCAAAACCGGTGTGGTTCAGTGGATAGAGCGTTGTCGGCCTGTGGACTGAAGGTCCCAGGTTTAATTCTGGTCAAGGACATGTACCTGGGTTTCGGGCACATCCCCAGTGGGGAGTGTGCAGGAGGCGGCTGGTTGATGTTTCTTTCTCATCGATGTTTTTGGCTCTCTATCCCTCTCCCTTCTTCTCTGTACAAAATCAATAAAATATATATATATTTTTAAAAATATATTTTATTGATTTTGTACAGAGAGGAAGGGAGAGAGATAGAGAGGTAGAAACATCGATGAGAGAGAGTCATCGATCAGCTGCCTCTTGCACACCCCCTACTGGGGATATGCCCGCACCCAAGTACATGCCCTTGACCGGAATCGAACCCGGGACCCTTCAGTCCCCAAGCCGACGCTCTATCCACTGAGCCAAACCGGTCCCGGCAAAAATCAATAAAATATATATTTTTAAAAACACCAAAAACTGCAGTTTCTACCTGAGAGGATCGCTACCGTACCATACGTACTTCGGCCGGAGGGAAGCTCGGCACCTCGGCGGAGGGCCCAGCTCAGACAGCAGCAGGAGGCCAGGGGGAAGAGGTAGGTACAGTGAAGCTGGGTTCCTGAGCAGACCCCCATTTGCAGGCCAGAGAATTAGCCAGTTCTGGGCGTTAACGTTCCTCTCCCTAAAATGGCCACGTTCGGCATCCCAAGTGGACTGTGCGCTATCACCTTCCGCTACCCACGCCCGCCCCGCCTGTGATGACAGCAAAGGGTTAACCACAGGTTAAAGGTCGGCGAGGTAACGGGACGCTCGGGGCTCACGAAGGCCACCTCGGGCCTCCCGTGGAGAAGGCGGGGCCGGAGCGGGCGGCTCGGTGTGCGCACGCGCGCGCCTGGTCCGTTGCGCCTGCGCGTCCGGCGCGAAGCCCGTCCGCCGCCGCCCGCTCTCGAGGGCGCGCGCTCGGGCGGCGCCTGCGCAGAGGGATAGGAAGCTGCGTCCCCCGTTAGGTCCCCGCGCCTGCGCGTTTGGGCTCCGGGCCTCCCGGCCTGAGGGAGAGGAGCAGGGAAGATGGCGGCGGTGGTGGAAAATGTAGTGAAGCTGTGAGTGGTCGTTTCTCTCTCTCCTGGGCCGGGAGGTCCTGTAGAGGGCCTGGGAGGAGAGGGTGGCGCGGGAAGGGACGAGGCGAGGAGCGGGACGTTCCCGGGGAGGCTATGTTGGGGCTCCCCCCGGGGAGGGCGGCGGGAGAGTCCGGAGAAGACGCTGCGCCTCTTTGGAAACTTGTGGCGGCCTGAGGGGCACCGGGAGCCCCTCGCGGGCAGCCTCCTGGGCTCGGCGGGGCCGTGCGGTCCGAGCATCCCTTCAGCCGGCCGTTTCCGGAGCGGGGCGCCCTTGCCGCGTCCGAGGGACCCTGTCCCGGGGTCGCCCCGAGACGCCGCAGTCCGGGGGAGCCTGGCCGAGGGCGGCCCGGGTCCGACCGGGTCCGACCGGGTCCCCGCGAGCCGGTCCCGATCTCTCCCGCGGGCCGCCCGCGGCCGGCCCTGAAGCCGCCGCCCGGCGCGGTGAGGATCGCGGGGCTGTTTTTGCCTAAACAGCTGCGCGGCGTGGGGGTGGGGGTGCTGGGCATCAGGTCCCCAGCACCGAAAACACGCTCGGTAGGATCCGTTGAAGAGCAGGATCCCGGGGAGGAACCTCGGGAACGGGCCCCTGCGCCGGCGCATCCCGCCATCGCCGCCCGGGGATGGACCGGAGCCGCCCGCGAGGCCGCGAGGCCGCAGGCCGCTGTCCGCGGCGGGCGTGCCTGTGCCGGGCAGATTCCGAACCACGTTAAAGTTAACATTGTTGGGGAAACGGAGAAAGGCCTGCTACCTTCGAGGGAGAGATGCTTTGGGACTTGCTTCAGCCCAGCCTCCTCCCTGAAGAGGAATCGGAAGGAGGCTTAACGTGGGTTCGTGCCCGGGGCGAATAGAGCGGCTCCTTTCCGTCGGCCTTGGTGCCGGGTGGATCGGAAAGCAGAGGTGTCTGGTCGTCTGGTTAGGGCCTTTGGGTTTTGATGGGATGGCGAGGTAAAGGCTTGGGAACTGTTCTCAGGGACCCACGGCTTCTCGGCTGCCTTGGTGGTGGGCTGAGCTCACTCTTCCCCGGAGCCTTTTAGTGAGAGGACACGCTTCCCCCTCCCCGCCTGGAGCCTTTTCTTTGAGAATGCTTTCCCACTTCCATTAAGCTAAGTGCCTTCTCCTCCTCCTGTGGTTTGTGTTTTTTATTTTTATTTTTTTTTACTTGCTTTTAGCTGGGTCCCCCTGCTTTCAGCCATCCATCCATCCTCCCAACATTATTATCTTCCTCTCTGATCTGCCTACTCCAGCTTCCCCTGCTCCCTGCACACATTTCCCTCCGTTTAGAAATGATGCTGTTGATCTACCACTTGTGTACTTATTTTTCCTGATTCAGATTTTTTTTGTTGTTTCTGTTTTTTTAAATATATATATATTTTTTGTTTTTTTACTGAGAGGAAGGGATAGATAGAGAGCTAGAAACGTCGATGAGAGAGGAACATCGACCGGCTACCTCTTGCACACCCTCCACCGGGGATGTGCCCACAACCAATGTATGTGCCCTTGACCAGAATCGAACTTGGGACCCTTCAGTCTGCAGACCCACGCTCTACCGCTGAGCCAAACCGGTTTCGGCAGATATTCTTTCTTTCTCTGTCTGCCTTTCTCTTTGTTGACTCCCCCCATCCCATGGAAAGGAGAGGTCTTACACAGGTTTTGTGCTTCCCGAAAAAATAAAGCTAATACCTTGGAAATTTTACCATACTGGGGGAACGTCAGACTTGCCTAGATTTTGAGAGTTATATGTAGTGAGATTTTTTTAAAAAGGTCTCTTTCTTTCAGAGAGGAAAGGAGAGGGAAAGAGATAGAAACATCAGTGATGAGAGAGAAAATCATTGATTCGCTGCCTCCCCTTTCGGGAGCAACCTGGGCATGTGCCTTGACCAGGAATCGAACCCTGACCTCTTGGTTCACGAGTCCACTGAGCCATGCTGGCCGGGCTGTAGTGAGTTTATGTTGAAAGACTTTCTTCAGGGAAATAGGGTTGTCAACCCTTTTGTGTAGTGTTAGGTGTAAGGGGCTGCCCGTTTAAATAGAGCATTACATCTTTTATTTCCTTTTTTTTTTTTTTAAATCAATCTTTATTGTTCATATTATTACAAAGGTTCCTCATTTCTTCCCACCCCACCCCACCCTCCGCCCCCTCCCCACCCCCCATTGTCCTCATCCATAGGTGCACAGTTTATGTTCAGTTTCTTCTTCCCTCCCTTTCCCCAATAGTAAATCCCTTTTCAGATAGTAAATCAGTTACTTAGCATTTTCTCATATCAATAATACCTCCACATGCCCAATGATACACTTCACACAAAAGACATTTCCCAATAGGTCCACCAACCTCATCCAGCCCCCAACCAAGGCACTCACAGATCAACACCTCAGCCCTATACTAACTCAACACATCCAGATCTAAGCCTTCATCACTTGATTCAGCAGACCCTCAAGTTCCCGCGAAACTTTCCAGCCATGTCTGAGAGGCAGCCGTGGGGCAGGGGCAGGCGAAGAACGAGCTGTTCCGGGCCTGGCTGCTCAGGGCCTGGCCTCTGTTGCTCTGGTTCGTTCCACAACCAGCTGCTCCGGGTCTGGTCACTGCCGCTCCCGACCTAGTTGCTCTGGACTTGGCTGCTGCTGCTCCAGGCCTGGCCGCTCCCAGCCTGGCAGCCGCTGCTCCGGGCCTGGCCGCTCCCAGCCTGGCAGCTGCTGCTCCAGGCCTGCATCTTTTAAAATATATATATATATTTTATTGATTTTTTTACAAAGAGGAAGGGAGAAGGATAGAGAGCTAAAAACATCGATGAGAGAGGAACATCGACCAGCTGCCTCCTGCACACCCCCTACAGGGGATGTGCCTGCAACCAACGTACATGCCTTTGACCGGAATCGAACCTGGGACCGATGCTCTATCCACTGAGCCAAACTGGTCTTGACTAGAGCATGACATCTTATTCTCTTTCAAGAGCTGTAGAGCTTGTGAGGGTCACCAGGCACTGGTTCCTGAGTGCTGGTAATGAGAAACCAACACCATCTTCAACACCAACTTAAAAATGATCACAGTACATTTTCCTACAGAACTTCCCCTTTCAAAAGGAGCCTCCATTCTCTCAGTACCATTCCCGCCTGGAAGAAAATGCTTTCCCATTGCTTTTCTTGATCATGGCGTGCCTAGTCTTCTGACAGCTGAGTTGTACATCGAGGTCAGGACTGCTAGCTCATCTTTTCTAACTTACATCTTTTTATTTTTTAAATATATTTTGTTGATTTTTTTACGGGAAGGAAGGGAGAGGGATAGAGAGTTAAAAACATCAATGAGAGAAACATCAGTCAGCTGCCTCCTGTACACTCCCCACTGGGGATGTGCCTGCAACCAAGGTACATGCCCTTGACCAGAATCGAACCTGGGACCCTTCAGTCTGCAGGCGAAATCTCTATCCACTGATCCAAATCCGTTAGGGCTTACATCTTTTTTTTTTTTTTTTTTTTTTTTTTAAATAAAACCTTAAATTTGATTTTGAGAGAGAGAGGAAGGGAGTGGGATAGATAGAAACACTGATATAAGAGAGAAACATCAGTTGGCCACCTCCTTCATGCCCCCGTTGGGGACTGAGCCAGAAAACCCAGGCAAATCCAACCTGAGACCATTGGGTGCACAGGGGATGCCCAACCAGCTGAGCCACACCAGCTGGCTCTGACTTACATCTTGTTCTGGGGGAAGAATTTTCCTATTTATAAATTCTGTGAACTCCAAATGGCTCAAAATTGAAACAGTCTTTAAGGTATTTACTAGGGTAAATTAATGGTGGTAAATATCCGCGGCTGCTGACTAGTTTTGAAACCTGTTAGGTAACAAGATACAGAGAAGAAAGTTAGCTTGAAATTTCTCAAGCTAGGACTCTAAGTTTTAAAGAGTCCTCTCATTCTCTCTTGCTCTGTCCTCATCAGGTTTTATTCCCACCCCTCTTACGCACAAGACAGTTTGTCCCTCCTTCTGAGATTTTACTTAACTCATAAGAACTTCGGTAAAACATCTCTCATGCATTCCCCTCAGGCTGTTTCCAGCCTCCTTGCTTTGACTTGGCAGCTCTCAGCCAGCCTGGCCCTTCCTTCCGTTTGACTTCCAGTGTCAGTATTAATCCCCATCAGCAGACACAAAGGAGCTGCTGCACTCAGCCTTGTTTATCCAATTTTCCTCTGATTATGAGGCCGTGGTTGCCTCCTAAAGGCGAGCAAATGTGAGCCTGTTCCATTCTCTCCACTCCAGCACAAGATTTATGCCTACCTCAAATTACAGTCACTCAGCCTGTTGAAGCACGCTAGGCTGTCTTGTCGAGTCACTGCCTTGTGTGTGGTGTGACTTTTTCAGTTGCTGGGAACATGCTCAGCTGGGCCTAAGTGGTCGATTGCAGCTGCTCAGTGAACCCCTCCCCCCTCAGATTCCAGAAGGATTTGTTGGTGTAGCTCAAGATACCGACATAAGCAACACAGACTTACTCTGTCCAGCTTTTCCTGAGTCTCCTCTCGTGGAATATGTTGGGACTTACCCAGCCCAACCTCCCCTGTCTATCGCAGAGGCACTGGAGATCCCATAGTTTGATTCGATGTTCACATTTGATGGCTTTTAGCCAAGTCAGGTCTTTTTACTCCCAAGTCAAATCAAGATGCCCAGACACCTTCCTTGGTACTGGAGTTACTATGGGAAAGAAATCATCTCTTGCCGGGACCGGTTTAGCTCAATGGATAGAGCGTCGGCTTGGGGACTGAAGGGTCCCGGGTTCGATTCTGGTCAAGGGCATGTACCTTGGTTGAGGGCATATCCCCAGTAGGGGGTATGCAAGAGGCAGCTGATCGATGACTCTCTCATCGATGTTTCTAATTCTATCTCTCTCTCCCTTCCTCTCTGTACAAAATCAATAAAATATATTAAAAGGAAAAAAGAAAAAAAATCATCTCTGTTGAAGATGGATAAGATATGTAAATATGAATTGTTATAGTTTAAGCTCCAGTGCTGAAGGGTTGTTTCCATGTGCATGCTTAGAACCGGATAACTGGCACTGCAGTTTTCCAGCTTTTAGACCACTTCAAGGTTTACCCTTGATTACAGTTTCAAATTGAGCCCAACCAGTGTGGCTCAGTGGTTGCGTATCGAGTTATGACACAAGAGATCAAGGTTTGATTCCTGGTCAGGGCACATGCCCGGGTTGTGGGCTCCATCCCCTGTGGGGGGCGTGCAGGAGTCAGCCAATCAAATTTATTTTATTTTTTTTAAAATATATCTTATTAACTTTTTACAGAGAAGAAGGGAGAGAGATAGAGATTTGGAAACATTGATGAGAGAGAAACATCGATCAGCTGCCTCCTGTACAACACCCACTGGAGATGTGTCCTCAACCAAGGTACATGCCTTTGGCCAGAATTGAACCCGGGACCTTTCAGTCTGAAGGCCAGTGCTCTATCCACTGAGCTATTCTCGACCAGAGGTTAATAAATCATTTCTACAAATTAGATTTGGGACTTTTTTTGATTTTTTTTTTTGTCCAAATGATTTTCCTATGGATTATTTTGATATCATGTGTGTTTTTCATGACTGTCTTGCTGTTAATATTACAAATGGAAATTAATTTTTGAGTAAAAAAATTTAAAAAAAAAAATATATTTTATTGATTTTTCAGAGATGAAGAGAGAGGGATAGAGTGTTAGAAACATCAATGAGAGAGAATCATCGATCAGCTGCCTCTTGCACACCTCCTACTGGGGATGTGCCCACAACCAAGGTACATGCCCTTGCCCGGAATCGAACCTGGAACCTTTCAGTCCGCAGGCCGATGCTCTATCCACTGAGCCAAACCGGTCCTGGCGAATTTCTGAGTAAAAATTTTTTAAAGTAAAGATTTTAAAATCAATTAAGGCCTGATATAATTTACCTGTAGGATATATCTTTTTCTTTTTTTAAATTTTTTAAATTAAATTATTATCTGTGTACATATTATAGGATATTTCTTACAGGATATTATTCTACTATCTTCCCTTTTTATTTAATTATTAAAAGGCTTTTGGAAATTTTTTTATAATGCAGTTTTGATAACTTTACATTTTAATTTTTGCACAAAAATGTGATTACTTTAGGGTTAATTGTATGTCAAGCAATTTTACCATGAAATGAACTACCAATAGAAATTTTGGTTAATACTTTAGGAACAGCTTTTTGTACAATTAAATTTTTATTTATTTATTAAAATATATTTTATTGATTTTTTACAGAGAGGAAGGGAGACGGATAGAGAATTAGAAACATCGATGAGAGAGAAACATCGACAGCTGCCTCCTGCACACCCCCCACCGGGGATGTGCCCTCCACCAATGTACATGCCCTTGACCGGAATCGAACCTGGGACCTTTCAGTCCGCAGACCGACGCTCTACCACTGAGCCAAACCGGTTTCGGCCAATTAAATTTTCTTGAATATTCATTTCATTTAGTCAATTTAAATTAATCTGAAAACTTGACTATTTTACTGTCAAATTTAATACTTTAACAATAATCTTAATTTACCCTGTAAATATTAATGGAAAGGATTATATGTAGAGCGTCGGTCTGCGGACTGAAAGGTCCCAGGTTCGATTCCGGTCAAGGGCATGTACATTGGTGGAGGGCACATCCCCGGTGGGGGGTGTGCTTGAGAAAGTTCTAAGCATTCCTGGTGTTAGACTGGATTTAAATATAGGGCAGCTGCCATCAACCACTTCTCTGTTGCCTGGGTCTCAATCTGAGCTGGGCCAAGTCTCTTGTTTGTAGCTGGGTCTCAATCTGAGCTGGGCCAAACCTGTTTGTTGCCTGGGTCCTGATTTGAGCTGGGCATGGGAAGCGCGAAGCAGCCATGGGGCAGGAGACTTCCCTCAAAAGAGGCGAGTGTTCAAGCCCCTGTAACGTTGGGGGGGAGGGATGAGGATCTTCGCCACACCTCCATTGATCCCCAAGCTCCTTCCTGATGGCCCCCTGCGGCTGTGCCTGGCTTAGGTCGCCCCTCCCTTGAGGAGTCTTACCCGTCATTGACTAACCAGCCATCCTCTGGGCCATGCTGGGTGATGAGAGGTTCAGTTCCGTCTCCTCGGTAGCCTATGCCCCTATGGCCTCCATGCCCAGCACCTGCCTTGGGATCCCCTCACCTGCTGGCAGGTCCCGGCATTGATCACATATCTTGGGGAACCCAGGTTTCTTCTCCAGGGAGGGCCCAGCTCACACCATTGTGAGACAGACCCATGGTACCATCCACCTTGAGGCTTCAACCTCAGCAGGAACTGAAAACTCAAGCAACAAGCTGTGGGCAATTGGATTGTGAGAAGAGGATCCCTCTTTGCAAATAAGGCAAGAAGGGCCAATATAGAATGCTTAAGGGAATTAAGTCCTTTCATGTCCTTTTTAAATTGCTGCCAAACAGTCAAAGAATTCGTTTAAGTTTGTTTGGGATAAATGCACAACATGCTCTTGTAAAATATCAAAATTTATAATGACATTGTAGAATAATATCATGCAAGGATATTCTTTGCTCTAGGCCCATTACTATTTACTTTCAATTTATTGCACCCATTTTTTAAAATTGGTTATGTGCCTATCTTATAAATTTATATCAATATGAATTAATGAGGGTTTAATAATTCCTTTATAATTTTGCAATATATAATTTAAGACAACTAAATGTTCCCTGCAAAAGTAAAGTTGATCGTTACTTTCTGCAATTATATGTTCAAAAATTAAGTACATGTTGGATGTTGATAAATTAAAATAATAGACTTTTAAAAAAAAAAGAGTAGTTTTCAGGAAGTCCAGGTTTTTTTTCATTGACTCTAAACTTTTAGTATACAGAATTAAATAGTTGGATAAGTAAATACCTATAAATACCTCGTTCAAAATTCAAAAGATATAAAAGAGCAAGTAGGAGAAAATCCCCTAATCACCTGGTTTTTCTTCCTGGAGGCCTGCAGTTTCTTTTCTTCCTCTTTGTTCCATAAATGGTAGCATCCTGTAACACTTGTCAACACCTTACCTTGTAGTGTTTTTTCCCCCCTGGTTGTCTTGGAGATTATTCAATATCAGTACATGAAGAGCTTTTTCTTTCTTTACGGCTAAATGTAATTTCATTGTACAGGTGTACTGTAGTTTGCTAACTGTGTTTTAGTAGGTCTCCTAGACCTTGTTGAACTCATTTCTTTTTATAAAAAGGAACTAACCTCTGCTTCTCAGAGCATGAGGGTTAAGAGAAATAGCATTTTTTTTTTCTTATTTCTTTCTTGATTCCCTTTAGAAATGGCATCTTGAGTGGCACGGGGTTAAGACTCATGAAAGCCCAAAATAAGCATTAGTTTGTTCTCTTTGTGAATTACACTTAAGTCTGATGAGACACATGAAGAAATCATGTGTTCCCAGTAGTAAGTGCTTGTTAAGTGCCTTTTCTCCTACTGGCCTAGCGAAGGGGCTTGGTGTCCCCTGAGGCAGAAATGGAGGCAGATGGAACCAAAGCAAGAGTCTCCCAGCCCCTTGAGCCTTCTGGAGAAGCAGGTGGGAAGGGTGAAGGGTAGTTCAGCGCCTTGTGCCCTGTGCACACCCCCGACACCGACACCCACCTGATTGTTGTCTGTACTGCAGCCTCGGGGAGCAGTACTACAAAGATGCCATGGAGCAGTGCCACAATTACAATGCCCGTCTCTGTGCCGAGCGCAGCGTGCGCCTGCCCTTCTTGGACTCGCAGACCGGAGTCGCCCAGAGCAACTGTTACATCTGGATGGAGAGGCGCCACCGGGGTCCAGGTGAGGCGCAGGCCCAGGAGCACAGGGGAAGGAGCATCCTCATTGAGGGGTGAGCCAGCTGAGAGGGTTTCCCTGCTTTCCGCCATGGCGAGCATGGTCTCCTGTGATTAGAAGCCAGGGAGCCAGGTGTATGCCAGCTCTTGGTTCTCTGCAGGACTGAGGCTATTGCTGGGCTCCTGCAGAGTTATGTGTTAGCCAAGGCCCCTAGTTCACATCTGTTTTCTTTTCTATAAGTCACCACCCCACCCCGCCCAGGCATTGCCATTGTTCCTCCTTTGCTCTAGAACTCCCGGGGCCTAGTCATCCAGAAAGTGTTTGCCATTATTTTCTAGAGCTGGGTTAGGGCTGACCTCTCTCCCTCCAACTAGGTTAGGGCTGACCTCTCTCCCTCCAACTGGGTTAGGGCTGACCTCTCTCTCCCCCTCAGGATTGGCCTCTGGACAGCTGTACTCCTACCCCGCCCGGCGCTGGCGGAAAAAGCGGCGAGCCCACCCTCCTGAGGACCCGAGGCTTTCTTTCCCGTCTATCAAACCAGGCAAGCCACTCCTTCCGGAGCAGGCCGTGGCCTTCTGCGTGATAAGAGGCTGCTAACCTGTCATGTACCGGTGATAATGCCAGGTTGTGAGGATACTAACATGAATAAGATGGGATCTTTTCTTTAAAGAGCTCAGTCTAGTAGAAGAGACAGTAATTATGGTGCCCAGTGAATTAGGGTGTTCTGGACCCTGGGCAGCCAGAGGCCAGAGACAGTGGCTGGCCTAGCACTCTGTAGACTACGTGGTCTACGTTCAGCCCTTCTGAGTCTTCCTCCTCCTGACCTTGCCTGCAGACACGGACCAGACCCTGAAGAAGGAGGGGCTGATCTCTCAGGACGGCAGTAGTCTAGAGGCTCTGCTGCGCACTGACCCCCTGGAGAAGCGAGGTGCCCCAGACCCCCGAGTTGATGACGACAGCCTGGGCGAGTTTCCTGTGACCAACAGTCGAGCACGGAAGGTACAAGATGAGCACTTCGGCTAAGGGAGCTTTGCTGGTGACTAGCCTTCTCGGGAGAGGCCTGAGCAGAACGGAGGCAAGCTGTGGCCAGCGGCAGGCCCCCGAGTTCTGCTGTTTCCCTGTTAGTGCTGGGTGTGGCCAGCTCCCTCACCATCCAGCCTTCCCCACTCCTTTCCTTCTAAGTTCAGACGCTCCCTCATCCATCTGCACAAAGGTTCTGGCTGCCTGGGGCTACATAAGTGACATAGACCTGGTCCCTGCCAACAGGCACATAAAATTATACATAAAATGATAAGAGCTAAAACTGCTCCAGGCACGGTGCAAAGTGCTTTTCCATCGTTTTCTCCAGTTTATACAACCTTATGAAGTAGGTACTGTGGTCCCCAGTTCACATACAGAGAGGCTGAAACAGCAGTTAACAGAAATCCCCCATACGTCCCCTCAGTTAAGCAGGAAGGTTCTAAATCTAGAACGTGAGGTGCTTCCGGGGAGCAGATCAGAGGCAGGAGGGGGCATGGTACTTAGTGTATCGGGGAAAGCTGTGTGGGAAAGGCATTCAGGCTAGGGGAAACGAGTGGCACGGAGGGGGGGGAGCCCAAACCACGGAAGGGAGAGGGGCAGGGTTATGGGTGTTGAAGGGCGGCAGCGAGAAAGGAGGCTGGAGGGAGAGACCAGGTCACGAAGGAGGTTCTGGTGGCCTTGCCGCTGCCGTTGGGGGCACTTTCAGACGTACATTATTATACTTCCGCCCATCCTAACCCTGAACCTCCCCCTCAGCGGATCCTAGAGCCGGACGACTTCCTGGACGACCTCGATGACGAGGACTATGAGGAAGACACTCCCAAGCGTCGGGGCAAAGGGAAATCCAAGGTGAAGGGCCAGGTGCTGCCTGCAGCCTGGGGCAGGGAGCCTGTGGGTTCGCGTGAGGTCAGCAGCCACTCCCGGAGAGTTTACCCTCCTTAGCCCAGACGCCTAGTGAGAGCAGCTCTGTGCTCTTTCTGGCAGGGGAAAGGCGTTAGCAGTGCCCGTAAGAAACTGGACGCTTCCATCCTAGAGGACCGAGACAAGCCCTACGCCTGTGACAGTGAGTGCCTCCTGAGTGCTGGGCAGTCCTTGCCTCGGACCCAGCTCCTGCTCAGGATGTGAGGAGGGAGGGCTGTGTTCTGCTCAGCGCGGTGAACAAGCCTGGACTCTGGGCCTGCCTGCCGACTGATCCCCTCTGGGACCTCTGCGCCGGGGGTGGGGCCCGCATGCTCGGGAGACTGCTGTCCCCGGGGCTGGAGGCTGGGGAAGGGGGCGCACACAGCGGGCAGAATCAGCCTCCTGATAGATGGCATCCAGGTCTGCTGGCCCCAGGCAGCCAGGGCCCCAGAAGTCCAACACCCAGTTTTTCACTGTCTGTTCTCTCTCCCCCTTTGCTCTGACTCCCCACTTCTGTCCCTCCACCCCGGAGCACCATCGCCGCTGAGGTTTCTCTCTCGTTTGCTCCGCTTTCCTGCTGCTGCCGCTCCTGTCTCAGGTGCACCAAGGCCTCTTCTCATGACTGTTCTCTCTGTCTTCCAGATAGTTTCAGACAAAAGCATGCCTCGAAAGCGCCCCAGAGAGGTAGCGCTCTCCACTTTTCAGACTTTGGGTTTTCCTCTCCCTTTCCCTCCTCCCTGGTTCCTCCTGCGTTTCTCATCTCCTGTGATGCTGGTTTAAGTCTCGGGAATGGCTTGGGGATGGAGCAACGGGCCTTTGTTGTGCTCCAGTCCTCCCCGTCCTGGAGCTGCCTTTCCCCTGCTTGTCTCCCACAAACCTGCTGCTCGGGCTGCCCGGGCCCACTGCATGGAGTGGCTTCAGAAGCATTCTCAGAAACCCGTTACAAACGGATCCCTCTGCTCCCCTCCCCCAAACAGCCCTTGCTGGTGAGCTAATGTTCCCATCATCTCCTCCTCCCGTCCTCTTCCCACTCCTTTCCTGCTGGCTCCCTGGCTCTTCTTGGTATCACTGCTCAAAAGTCCCAGGTGCCTCGTGGAGCTCTCCTTTCCTTGCTGGTTGGTGGGGTTGGGCCGGGCACTGATTGGTTGGGAGTGTCTTTGAATTTCTTTCGGGGCCAGCTACCTTGCAGACTCCGTTGACAGGTTATCCCCAAGAGAGCCAGGCCCTAAACCTTTGTCCACTGAGGGCTGAGATGGGCTCCGTGTGATATATGGGGTGTATGTATGAGCCTCCCACGTTTACTAAGAGGCGGGAAAGTTTGGATTATCTCTCTTACCTTTCCTCTCCTTCCTGTCATATCACAAGACTATAGACATTCCCTTTCCTCCCTGACTGAGCTCCCAGGGCTCAGACAGCCAGTGTGGAAGAGGAGAGGTGGCCATGGGCTGGGGTTTAGCAGGGATAAGAGCCATGGAAGCTGGAGAGCCCCAGGGCCCGATGCTCCTGACCAAGGAGAAGCAGCCGCCCCAACGGCCTGGCCCAGAACACAGCTGACGGGTGGGGGCGGCTGCCTGCCTCAGGTGGAGCCCACAGCTCAGCGGGAGAGGGTGTGGCGCTCTTGGACCCTAATACCTTTCTCTGCAATCTTCTCCCTCTCAGTCTGTGGAAAACGTTACAAGAACCGACCAGGCCTCAGTTACCACTATGCCCACTCCCACTTGGCTGAGGAGGAGGGCGAGGACAAGGAAGACTCTCAGCCGCCCACCCCCGTTTCCCAGCGGTCCGAGGAGCAGAAATGTAAGCGGAGGCATCCGAAGTGGGGCAAGCAGGAGCCGGCTGGTTCTGAGAAGCCCTCCTTCCGGGGATGTTGAGGGACCTCACGGCCCCCTGGGGAATCAGAGTTCTTTCTTTCTCTCTCACTGCAGCCAAGAAGGGCCCCGATGGACTGGCCCTGCCCAACAACTACTGCGACTTCTGCCTGGGGGACTCAAAGATCAACAAGAAGACAGGGCAACCCGAAGAGCTGGTGTCCTGCTCCGACTGTGGCCGCTCAGGTACTCCCAAGGGCGAGGGCAGCCGCAGCCAGCACCCAGGCCCCGAGAGGGCCTTGACTTGTCACTGTCCAGTGGCTGTCACAGTCAGCCAGGTCACCTCGCTTCTCCCCGTTTCCAGCTCCTATTTTACGCTCCTCCCCCCACACAGGGCACCCGTCTTGCCTGCAGTTCACCCCCGTGATGATGGCAGCAGTGAAGACCTACCGCTGGCAGTGCATCGAGTGCAAATGCTGCAACATCTGTGGCACCTCCGAGAATGACGTGCGTGGCCCTGCCCCTCCCGCACATCCTCAGCTCTCACTGTTATCTCCACAGCGCCCGCTAACTCCCTCCCCTCGCCCCTCCCCAGCATCCTGGGTGGAACTTCCTTTGGCAGGCACGTGGTGTCAGATACCGTTCTAGACACTAAGCACACCAAAGGAGACAGACAAGGTCCCTGTTTTCATGGAATTAACATTCTTGTGGGAATAAGCGAGGAAACGACATTTTTATGATGTCCCATGAAGAAAATGAAAGCAGTAATGTGGCAGAGAGAAACTGGCTGACTTGGGTAGTCAGAGATGTCTTTTCTGAGGAGGTGATGTTGGTGTTGAGCTTTGGATGATACCGAGGAGCCAGTCCAGGAAGACTTGAGGTGGAGTGCTCCCAGGAAAGGAGCACTGAGTGCAGACTCAGGCGGACAGGCCAGGGGAGCCGGGTGGAATCTTGCCCTGGAAGAGCAGGTGGAAGGGATTGGAAGGCAGGATCACCAGGTCTGAGGGTTTAGTTAGGGCAGTGACGTGGCATGTCATATATTTTAAAAAGATAACTGCTGCTCTCTGGAATATAGATTGTAGGGGACACAGGACCATGAAATCAGTTAGGCAGCTGGTAGAGTAGAGATGGACACCAGTGGTTTCTATGCAGAAATGCCCATGTCTGTCCTTACCCGCACCTATCTCACCTTTCTTGGAAGTAGCAGCAGTGTCTGCATGGCTCCTTCCTACCTGTCCCCAGTGGCCTTCCTGAGGCCCGTTGTCATTCCCCTCCTCCCTGCTCTTCCGCCGTGCCCTCTCCAGGACCAGCTGCTCTTCTGTGACGACTGTGATCGTGGCTACCACATGTACTGTCTTACCCCGCCCATGTCTGAGCCTCCTGAAGGTAGGTTGCCTGGATCTTTTACTCAGAACAATTATTAGTAACTTGGACCATCATCTGTATAATACATGAGTTCTCTTACAGTAATGTATCCTTCCAAATTGGGGAGTAGGCACTTTGCCTTCACTCAGTGTAGAATGCTTTCCTAGGATTTCAACTTCAAGTGTGTCTTTGCACGTTATCACCAGATAAATTTGCAAACACAAGATCAACAGTCCGAGAGAGAGCGGATACCGAGAGAGAGCAGATACCGAGCAGAGAACAGTTGCCAGAGGAGTGATTTGTTTTCCTTCCGTTCGTCCGGGAAACTCACTCCATAGCTTGTCTGAAGTGATGTTTTGGTATCAGCTCTTTGAACCTGACAAATTAGTGTTCATTTCCACCCAGTCTGGAAGGGACTTGAACCTGGAGCCTGAATGGGTCACTCTGGGCCTTCAGTAGTTTGTGTAATAATGCTCCACGCTATGGAAGCTCTTTGAAGAGCCCGGTGATGGCACCAACAAGTGGCTGCCTCTCCACAAGGCCTCTTCCGGCCAAATTTCTGTGCTAAGCCCTCCTTTATAGAAATCCATGAGCTTACTCAGGAGGGTGTGAATGCCAGAAGCGGTTACTATGCACAGGATGTGGGCCAGCTGTCCAGGCAGGAGAGTGACTCACTGTGTGATGTGAGCTAACCTGTAAGGTCAATAGCGATCCTCCCCTCCCCCAGGAGAGGCAGGCCGCTAGCAGAGTCCGAGTCTTTTAGCAGCTGCTCTGTCTGCTGTCATGCTCAGTTTAGAAATCTACTTTGGGGAGAAGTAATGAGTTCTGTGTTTTACTTTTTTAACCATAAAGTATAATAAATTTACTGGTAAATTCTACATTAACTGTAGAGGCTTTCCTTTGGAAGTACTGTCAGACACTGAAGAAGTGGAGAGTTGCAGGCAGCTGGGGGTAGAGGGCCTAGAAGTCATCAGATGGCTCTAGGTCAGGGGTTGGCGGGCTACTCCACAGCCCAGTCTTGCTGCACCTAGTTTAATTAGCTCCCAAGCTAAGACAGATTTTCGTTGTTTTTTCTTTTGAGAGTGTTTATTCAAACTGGAGACAGTGAAACAAAGCAAGTGCGTAGGATGGAAGAGGCAATAGAGCGAGCCTGGTGCTCACTTAACTCGCTGAAAAGTCAGAGACAAGGGCCCTGGAGACAGAGTGAGGGTTAGCCAGATGAGCTGCCGCTGTGTCGGCACCTGGTTAGAAGTGGTTGCCTCTCCACAAGGCCCCTTCCGACCAGATTTCTGTGTAAACCCCTCCTCTATATGAGCAAGTCTCGTGTGGACCTTTGTAGTTTAGGAGAGAAAAGGCGCACACTTGAGAGGGAAGAAAAGCGTGGTGTGCTCCAGAGAGAGGAAGGGGAGAGAGAAACATCAGTGATGAGAGGATCATTGATTAGCTGTTTCCTGCACGCCTCCTACTGGGGATCCCAGGCATGTGCCTTGACTGAGACTTAACCATGACCTCCTGGTTCATAGGTTAATGCTCAACTACTGAGCCACACCAGCCGGCCTCCAGGTGATTCATCTCCGTTGAGAATTATTCTTCATGGTGTTTGAGGACCTAGCAGTTTCTCCCAGCTCAGGATTACTGTGACCTTTCGCTATGCAGAACGTCTCCCATCCTGCCTGTAGCCGACCCTGATACAGAGATGATGTAGGAAGTGGAAGGACAGCAGGTTAAGATTGTGTGGGAGCCATCCTAACCCCATTCATTGTGCTTCTCTGTAGGAAGTTGGAGCTGCCACTTGTGTCTGGACCTGCTGAAGGAGAAAGCTTCCATCTACCAGAACCAGAACTCCTCTTGATGTGGCCAATTCCCCTGTTCCCCCCGACATCTAGGGCTGTTCCTCCTCTCTTGTTTTTCATAACCCATTTCCCCTTCCTCCTCTCTTTCAAAAGTCCAGAGAACCTGGGGGTGGTTGTGCCAACCTGCCTTTGGCAGCAGCAAGCTAAAGTGGCAGCTCTGGCTGCCTCTGGCCCCAGGCCCTCAGGGAAAACGGAGCGACATGTGCCCCAAGTGTCCCTGCAGGCCCGGCTTCTCATGGCTCTCCCGGAAGTGCATTCACTTTGCCTGCCTTGGGCCCTGGCCCTGATGATCACAGGGTTCACACAGTGTCCACTGAGAAAGGGGGGGAGCTCACCTCTCTCAGCTTTGCCTCCACACTGGTCCCCAGGGTTTTCCCTTCCCCCAGGGGTGAGTCAGGCTGGGACCTCTACCAGGAGCAGCTGGTGGTGAGCAACTGAGTGAGTTGAGGAGGAACTTGCAAGGAGCTTTCCATGCCCTTCCTGCTGCTTAGCCTCACCACGCTCTTCCCTCAGAGTGGCTCTGGAGCCTCTGTTCCTGCTACTGAGGATCCTTTGCCCAAGCCAGTAGGTTCTTGGTCACCCTCTGGGCTCTGGCCTGTCCCGTCCCAGGGGGAGGAGCAGCTCCACCCTGACTCTTGTGCTCACCTGGCTTACTCTCTCAGATGACTGCAGCATTCCCCACCATTGGAATTTCCTATCTTCCCTTCCCTTCCTTATTCTCTTAGGTTTTGTGGGGAGAGGAAGCATCAGGGGGCCAGGCCAGCTGCTTGGGGGTCACAGGGAGATGTTGGACAATGTGCCTGTTTTTTAACTCGATAAAAAAGCCTACCTCCGTAATCCCCTTTTTGTTCTTCCTGGACCTGGTATTCAGCTCCTGCCCTTACTGAATTGAGAGTCTCTGCCTCCTGTTCTGTGGGTCCTGGGTCCCGGGTCACAGGGAAGCCACACAGACATCCCATTCTTCCCTTGCACACTCACTAGCAGCTGGTAAGGTCTTCACACCCTGATAACTCACTTTTCTGCCTGGTAACACTTACGTAGTGGGAGGGATCCTCCATGCTAGGACACCCTGGTGTGGCCTTCCCCTGGCCATGGGCAGGCCCTAATTCACTGTTGCTTTGGAGTTGTGTCTTTTTTCTTTCTTTAGTTCTCGTATTCTAAACATTAGTACAAATAAACATTTTTACACAGAGTCTTCTGCTGGATGGTTTATCTCCTGAATCCCTTTCCTAGTTATGAAGGCCAGTTCATTTAAAACTTTCTTAGGGCTGTGAGGGTTTTTTTGTTTTGTTTTGTTTTGTTTTAATATATTTTATTGATTTTTTACAGAGAGGAAGGGAGAGGGAGAGAGAGCTAGAAACATTAATGAGAGAGAAACACCGACCAGCTGCCTCCTGCACACTGCACACCCCGCACCGGGGATGTGCCTGCAACCAAGGTACATGCCCTTGACCGGAATTGAACCTGGGACCCTTCAGTCCCCAGACCGACGCTCTATCCACTGAGCCAAACCGGTTTTGGCAAGGGCTGTGAGGTTTTTAATTTTTTTATTACTTTATTGATTTTAGAAAGGAAGGACAAAAGAAACATCGACATGAGAGAGAAATATTGATGAGTTGTCTCCTGTATGCACCTGACCAGGGATTGAATCCACAACCTAGGTATGTCCCCTGCCTGGGAATTAAATTACAACCCTTCGGTGCACAGGACACGCTAACAACCACACCACCCAGGGCAGGACTGGATTTTTCATGTTTTGAAATAGAGCTTTTTCTCCCCAATTAAAATTTTTGATGAATTCACTCTGTAAAGCAGATAGAAAGTTGGATACTTCTTATGTAAAGTCAGGTGATAACATTTCCTTGTTAAAAAGAACAATGAATTGCCCTAGCCGGTTTGGCTCTGGCTAGAGCCTCACCCTGCAGACTGGAGTCCCAAGTTCGATTCCTGTGAAGAGCACATTCCCTGGTCGTGGGCTCCGTCACCAGTAAGGAGCATGTAAGAGTCAGCCAATCAATGATTCTCTCTTATTGATGTTTCTATCTCCCTCTCCCTCTCTGAAATCAATAAATATGTTTTTTAAAAAGTTCTCAAGATTCATTCATGTTATATGTAGCGCCTATGAGGACTTAAAAAAAACTAAGTTTTTTGATTAATACAAAATTTGTAGCCCTGGCTGGGTGGCTCAGTTAATTGGAGCATAGTCCCAGACACCAAAAAGATTGCAGGTTCAATTCCTGGTAAGGGCGCATATCCTTGGGTGAGAAAAAAATTTTTTTTTTTAATTTAGGTTTAAATCAACTTGAGCATCCTATTTACTAATGTATTTTGGTTGATTTGGAGGAAATTCAGCCAAACTGGCATACACAAGTGGTGATAGGTTTGTAACAGTTGATCTTACAATTTTTTTTAATTTAATAAATCTTTATTGCTTAGATTATTACAATTGTTTCTCCTTTTTCCCCCCAAGCTCCCTTCCACCGGGTTCCCACCCCACCCCTTGCCCTTACCTCCCCCGCATTGTCTTCATCCATAGGTGTGCGATTTTAATCCTGCTCTTCCTGCACCCCTTTCCCCCTGATAATTATCAATCCACTCCCTTTGCCCCTGATTCTATTATATTCACCAGTTTATTCTGTTCCTCCGATTTTTAATTCACTTGATTTTTAGATTCACTTGATATACATGTATTTGTTGATCATAATTTTTATCTTTACTTTTTTCTTCTTCCTCTTCTTACCAAATCTAGTAAGAATTAGTCTCTACACGCCCTAAGTCAGAATTGGCCCTCGGCAAATAGTTCTCTGTAGCTGGGACGAGACTTAGGCCAGCGCTGTCCCTGGTAACAGCTTTAGTGAAACAACGCCCGCTTCCATTTCCTCAGACCACTTCTCGAGGGGCACTAGCCCTGTGGTAGGTGAGGAAGCTGCTCTCCGGCCCCCCATTCAGGTAGCGCGGCCCGGGTCCCAGCTGCGGGCGGGTCGCAGCTGCTGGAGGGGCCGCCAAGGCTCGGCGGATCGGCCCTGTCAACCGCGCGCTGAAGCCCCGCCCCCAGACGGCTCGACGAACCGCCACTTCCGCGACGTCCAATGAGACTTACCCGGAGGCGGGACCGGCCGTCGCTGAGGCCAATCTAATCGGTCAGGGGCGGGGCCGCGGCGGGTGGGAGCGGAGCGGCGCCCAGATGTCTCCGCCGGGAGAGCCGGCGCGGGAGGCGCGCAGGGGGCCTGCCGTGCGCGCGCCGCCGCCCTGGCCGCGCAGCCCCTCGGCCTCCTCGCCCTCCGGGTGGTGGCACCGCCCCCCCGACTCTCCCGCCGCCGCCCGGACCGGGGCTCGGGGTACGGGCGGGGGCGGGGCGGGAGCCGCGGGGCGGGAGCCTGAGGTGGGTGCGGAGCGGGCGGCGGGAGGCCCGGGGACCCCGGGTCTGGCCGGGACGGACCTGGCATCGAGGCGGGAAGAGGCCGGCCAGGTCCGGAGCCTGCTCCCGGCGGCCTCGGTCCGGACGCTCGAGCCCGCGCCCAGATACCCTTCCCGGCCCCTCCTCCCCCATTAGTGACACCCGCCCCCTGGAGCGGCCGTGGCCTCCTCACCCCTCTTGCCCTTTGTCCTCTGTGCACCTGCCCTCAGGCCCTGTGCTCCCATTCCCTCTCCAGACCGCACCCCGCCGCGCCTAGCTGCTCGGACCCAGCACCAAATTAGATTTGCTTCCTCAGCCCCATCCATCTCTCTTTGTCATCTGGACACCTGTCACCTCAACTCTGTTCATCCTCTCCACCACCCCGTCTTCCAGGATCTCATCTAGATCCAGCCCAGGCCCTCATCCCCCTTTTCCTCCTCCGATTCCTCCCCCAGCCCTGATTGTCTGACCTTCAACTGCCCACTCAGCCCTGGCCCCATGTTCTCTCCATCCACACTCCTTTGTTGCCTCTGCAGCTGTTCCCTTGGCCCTATTCACCTTTCTCCCCCAATTATATCACCCCCCAGCCCAGACTCCCCTCTCCTGACTATTGAGCCACCCACTCCCCAGCCCACCTCTGGCATTCCTCTGATCAGTGCCCAGTCCTGCTCACTCAGCCTCGCCATTTCCCTTCCTCTTTCAGCCCAGCCCTCACACCTCCTGCCCAGTGTACCCCTCACCCTTCCCAGATGGCCCATGTCCTTCCCACAGGTGCCTGGAGAGCCATGGAGTTGAGCAGCAAGAAGAAGCTGCATGCCCTGTCCCTGGCTGAGAAGATCCAGGTGCTGGAGCTCCTGGATGAGTCCAAGATGTCCCAGTCGGAGGTGGCCCGGCGCTTCCAGGTCTCCCAGCCCCAGATCTCACGCATCTGCAAGAACAAGGAGAAGCTGCTGGCAGACTGGTGCAGCGGCACCGCCAACAGGCAGCGCAAGCGCAAGCGGGAGTCCAAGTACAGCGGCATGGACGAGGCTCTGCTCTGCTGGTACCACATCGCCCGGGCCGAGGCCTGGGACGTGACGGGGCCCATGCTGCTCCACAAGGCCAAGGAGCTGGCCCACATCATGGGCCAGGACTTTGTGCCCAGCATCGGCTGGCTGGTCCGCTGGAAACGCCGGAACAACGTGGGCTTCGGGGCTCGCCATGTCCTCGCACCTCCGTTTCCCCCTGAGCCACCTCCTCCTTCAGGCCTCACGTCCCAGACCCAGCTGCCTCTTTCCCTTAAAGACTTCTCCCCAGAGGACGTTTTTGGCTATGCCGAAGTGCCCTTGCTGTATCGGGCAGTGCCTGGCAGAGTGGGGGCAGGTGATCGAGTACAGGTGCTGCTGTGTGCCAACGCCAGGGGCACAGAGAAGCGACGGGTACTGGTCAGTGGGCTCCAAGCTGCACCAAGGTGCTTCTTTGGGGTCAGCAGCGAGGTTCTTCCTGCCTCCTACCACCCTGACCTGGGCATCCCCTGGTCAGAGTGGTTGGCACAGTTTGACCGGGACATGGGGAGGCGGGGCCGACAGGTAGCCTTGCTGCTGGCTGCCCAAACGGCGGAGAAGTTGGCAGGCCTGTCTGGGCTCTGCCATGTGAGGCTCCTGCCTCTTTCTACCGCCAGCACCGCACGTTCCCTGCCCAGCTCTGTGGTCCGGGCCTTCAAGGCCCATTACCGGCACCGTCTGCTGGGCAAGCTGGCAGCTGTCCGGAGCGAGAGGGCCGGCACTTCGCTGGCTGAGGCCGGGGCAGGCATCACCGCGCTGGACACTCTGCACATGGTGGCGGCTGCCTGGGCCAAGGTGCCTCCCCCGACCATCGTGAGCAGCTTCTCTCAGGAAGGGCTGGCTCCCTGCAGAACGCACCCTCTGTCCCCGGACGAAGCCTCTGCGATGCCACCCGTGCCCTGCGGCCTGAGCCCCGAGGAGTTCTCCCGCTTTGTGGACCTGGAGGGTGAGGAGCCCGTGTCCGGAGTGTGCAAAGAGGAGGTGGACACTGAAGATGAGGGGCCTGGTGAGGGCGGCTTCGAGCGCCTGCCCACCAAAGCTGACGCCCTCCGGGCCCTGGGCACGCTGAGGCGGTGGTTTGAGTGCAACGGGACCTCCCCGGAGCTGTTTGAAAAGTTCTATGCCTGCGAGGAGGAGGCGGAGCGGCTCTGCTGCCTGTAAGGGCCCCGCTGCTCTCCCGAGCCCCTTCCTCTCCCGTTTCCCATGGAAACGCCCTCAGAGGCAGAGGGGAGGCTGGTCTGTTTCCCATGGAAACGGGCTTTTGGGAGACCAAGTCTAAGCTCTGAACAAGTTCTCAAGCCCAGGGAAGAGGGACCCCGGGCCGTGTTAGGGGCGTGAAGCCAGGCGGGTAGTTTCTGAACCTCTAGGGAGGCGGGGACTAGGGAAGGTGGAATTTGGGCTTTACAGACAGGCTGATGCCTTGAACTCTCTGTGTTTAAAACAGTTCTGCTTCTGAAAATAAAGTTTTTAATGAGGAAAGAGGCCAGGGTGTAATTTTCAGGGGAGAAGAATGGAAACTTGGAACTGGGATTTTTATTTTAATCCTCATCTGAGGATAAGTTTATTGATTTGAGAGAGAGTAGCATTGATGAGAGAGGAACATCGATCTGTTGCCTTCTGTATTCTAAATAGACAGGAAATGTTAGTTCGGGGGTAAAGGGAGATTGAGACAAAGGAAGACCATGACATTTAAAAAAAATCTAATTCTAGTTGCGGTGTGGGAAAATGGGAAGGTGGGGAGCAAAAGTGGAAACCAGAAAACCGAGTCAGGAAGCTGCTGAGTTGGTGGGACTTCCTCATGGATAGGGCATCAGGTGCGAAGGGGTGAGAGGAGCCGAAGAGGACTATTTCCAACAGATCGAGTTTTTTAAAATCAAGGTCAAGGCAGTCCTATTCAATTTTGCAGGTACTGCCACGTGCAAAGTAAGGGATGGCAAAATACATTCTGTACATTATTTCACTCCGTTACAAGCCTGAAACGGACACCCCTGTGTTCAGAAGGCATGCAAGCCTCCAGAGCGAAGGTGAGTAAGGCACAGTCCCTGTTCTAGAAGGAGAAAGAGCGCGAGTGACCAACTACACGTCAGTCATGTGGCTTAAACGAATTGATATTTATAAAGTGTTTTCTATTTGCCAGGCACTATTTTATTTTATTTATCTATATTGTTGGGAGTATGCCAGGCAGTATTTTGGAACACTCTGCATTGTCATCATCAGTCTTGAGAAGACGATGGACTAGCTGCAGATCCCAGAGGCAGAAAGATGGGTCCCATCTTCTTCTTCTTTTTTTTTTTTTAATATATATTTTATTGATTTTTTACAGAGAGGAAGGGAGAGGGATAGAGAGCTAGAAACGTCGATGAGAGAGAAACATCGACCAGCTGCCTCCTGCACACCCCCCACTGGGGATGTGCCTGCAACCATGTTACATGCCCTTGACCGGAATCGAACCCGGGACCCTTCAGTCCGCAGACCGACGCTCTATCCACTGAGCCAAACCAGTTTCGGCGGGTCCCATCTTCTTATATCTCTGCATTCTGCTCCAATTCCTTCCCATCTGCCTTCAGTTCTCTTCCGCTGTGAAGTTCTTTGAATTTTTTTTTTTTTCAAATAGCCATAATAATTGTTATACTGACTTTCTTTTAATTCTTTTTATGCAGTTACTTTACATTCTATATCTGATAAACCTAATATCGGAAATGCTTGGGGGCTAAATTTGCTGAGGGTTTTTTTGTTCATGGCGGCTTTTTTTCCCAGTGGGTCTGGTAATTTTTCTAGGGGGAATTTTTTTCGTTGGTTGCACTTTGTCTTAGGAAAACCTCAAGATCCTGATTCAGGCTTCTCGCCTTTCAAAAAATTGTAGTTGCTCCAACCAGGCACAAGGGGGCGCTGGCACCACGATAGATTAATTTCTGGGCGGAAGGTGTTCCAGACCTCAGGTACCATAAGGTGAAAGTACAGGCGTGTGGTTGGTTTCTGGTTCACCTGGGAGCTGATCTTATTCTTAATTTTCCCCCACCACGCACAGAGGCATATTTCTTTGTAGGTTCCCCTTACTGGTGGGTGGAAGTTTCCTGGTCTCTGCTTTTGCCAAAAGTGTAGCCCCTTCCAGATCTTGACTTAATTTATGAGACGTGGGTTCAGCTGGGGCTCACGGTCTATGTAGTCTTCTGTGTGGTTCTTTAATCTTCATGGTCATGGTGTTAGCGTTTGCCCCAAGGAGACAACCTGGTTTACGCTCACTCGGTTGTTTGAAGGGGTCCTTGGGAAGTTCCCGCACCATTGGCAGAGTTAGTAATGGTTCTTAAATGACGGCTGTTGTATTGGGTCTGGAGTCTAGGCGCTTAATGATAGCGGGATCCACATAAAGTCTAGAGCACTGGCCTGACGGAAGGGAAGTCGGGAAGAATGGTTTTCTTTCATTCATTCATTCACTTGTTCAAATTTATTTATTGAGCACCTCTGTATGCCACCTAGAGTCAAAGTGGAGCTCGTAATTTAGAGGAGAGACAGTTACAATCAAAGAGCACACAAATGGGAGTATATAATTGCAGAATGCAAGGACAGACAGCTAAAGCTGCTGTGTGTTTTTTGTACTGATTTTAAATTCGATGGTGGCATTTTTCCCTGTGGGTCTGGACATTTTTGTTGTGGGAATTTTTTCCCTGTGGTCTGGGAATTTTTGCTGTGGGAATTTTTTTAATTGGTTGCACTTCATCTCCGGAAAACCTCAAGATCATTGTAAGCTAAGCAACCAAGAGAAGGCGAATGCTCAGAGCGAGCCTTGTAGACTGGAAGGAGCTTGCTCTGACTCGGAACAACAGGAAGCTATCAAGGGGGACAGAAGGAGTAGGGTGACTTGATCAGAACGGCATTTGAAAAAGTTGAGTTATTGTTTGGATTCAGGACGGGACCAGGGCTATGGCGCAGCACACCTCGCTTTATTTCCCTTCACAGATGTTGCACTTCTTACTAATTGAAGGTAAGATGCATCACCAGCAAAAAGATTATGACTTGCCAAAACCGATTTGGCTCAGTGGATAGAGCATCGGCCTGGGACTGAAAGGTCCCAGGTTCAATTCCGGTCAAGGGCATGTACCTTGGTTTGGGGCACAACCCCAGTGAGGAGTGTGCAGGAAGCAGTTGATCGATGTTTCTCTCTCATCAATGTTTCAACCTCTCTACCCTCTCCCTTCCTCTCTGTAAAAAATCAATAAAATATGTATATTTTTTAAAAAAGATTATGACTTGTTGAAAGCTCAGATGATAGCATTTTTTTTTTTAGCAATAAGATTTTTTTCGGGGGGATTTGGTGGCAGTGGTGGGATCAATAAGGTGTTTTTAAACCAGAGTATGTGCATTGATTGTTTTTTTTAGGCATAATGCTATTGCACACAATAAACCACGGTATTATGCAGAAATAAGTTTTGTATGCACTGGGAAACCAAAAACCTCATGTGACTTGCTTTATTGCAATATTCGCTGTATTTCAAAGGTCTGGAACCACGCCCACAGCATTCCTGAAATATGCCTGTGTTCGGATTGGAAGGAAGGGAGTGAGTCCCAGGAAACTTCAGGTTAACAAGAGCTGGAGTCTCCTTTGAAGCAGGAGGAGAGGGGAAGGGAGAGCTTTGAGATGTGTGGCCTGAGGCTTACTCTGCCTCGGAGCACGGCAGCAGGAACAGGTGCCTTTGGGATGGCGCTCAAGGACCTGTGACCAGAGGTGGCAGTGTGCCTGGAGCTCAGGACAGTGGTCAGGCTGGAGACACCAATTAAGAGTGACTCCTCTTTTTTAAATATATATATTTAAATATATATATATAAATAATTTAAAATTTTATATATATATATATATATTAAATTGATTTCAGAGAGGAAGGGAAAGGGAGAGCGAGATAGAAACGTCAATGATGATAGAGGATCACTGATTGGCAGGAGTAGGGGGACCAAGCCCACAAACCCAGGCTGTGCCCTGACTGGGAATCAAACCATGACCTCATTCATAGGTTGACACTCAATCACTGAGCCACGTCGGCCATGCTAAGATGACTCCCCTTAAAGAAATTAAAGCTAAACTCTGCTGTCCAGTGAGTCTGGCGATCGATAGTGATTTATACCAGAACCTGCCTCACCCTGTCATTCCCCCTTTACCTGCACATGTAGCCTGATTGTCACGATACACATAAGTTAGTCTCCTGTGATTTCTAAGCCCTACATGCATCCCTCAGCCACCACCCCCATTTTCAGCCTCAAAGCAGGTCACTGACTATGTCCTGGTTCTTAGGGATTCCTTCTACCTAATGAGTCTCAAGAATAATGATGAGCTGGCGTGGCTCAGTGGTTGAGCATTGACCCATGAACCAGGAGGTCCCTGGGACTCGATCCCCGGAGTGGGTGTGAGGAGGCAGCCAATCGGTGATTCTCTCTCATCACTGCTGTATCTACCTCTCTTCCTTCCCTTCTCCGAAATCAATAAAAACACTAATCTTAAAAGGAGTAATGACGATCTCTAATAACACCTGTTAATTCCTGAAGGGATTTAATCTGCATATTATGAGACCCTGCTGATGTAAAGCATCTAGCTTTTAAAAATATCTCCAGCCATTTCCTGCCTGCCTGTCTTTCCACCCTCCTTTCCAATACTGTGGTGAGTTTTCTCACTGCTCATGCTATGCTTACCCTCCCCCTGCAGCTCTGCTTACCCTCCCCGCTCCAGCTGCCCTCACCTTCTCCCCTGCAGCTCTGCTTACCCTCCCCCTGCAGCTGCCCTCACCTTCCCCCCTGCAGCTGCGCTTACCCTCCCCCCTGCAGCTCTGTTCTTTAGCCCAGCTGCAACTCCTGCCGGGCTAGTGGAAGGGCTGCGTGGCCACTTGAGGCCTGCCACTCTGGTTCTAATGAGGAGCTCAGAGCAAGGGAGCTCCAGCCTCTCCCCACAAGGTGCCTCTGGAGAGAAGCAGGAAAGGAAAACAGGTGCAAAGGCAGGCTTATGGGTGAGATTAACACCCCAGAGAGGATTTCATTTTAACAAAATCATACCAGGGTTTTAATGTTTTATTCTCTTGCTAACTGGTAATGTGGTGAGAGATGGCAAACTTCAGAGGACTACCCTGACCTCCTGTTTCTCTTTTTATTGTTTTTCATTTTTAAAAATGTACTTACTGATTTCTTAGGGAGGGAGAGAGAGACATCGACTTCTGTTGTTCCTCTTACTTCGTTCACCGGTTGGCGCTTGTGTGTGCCCTGACCAGGGAGGATGCTCTAACCACTGCGCTGCCCCAGAGCTCCTGCCCCTTCCTGCCGGGTTAGAAGAGCCGCCACCTCTTCACGTGCTCTTGGCTCTTCCAGACCCAGACGCCCTGCGGGTCCCCATGACCGTCCGGTCCAGCCCCGCACCCCTGGTGCTGTGGCAGTGCTGCCAGCCGCTGACCCACAGGCTGGCCAGCGGGAAGGGGTTGGGGGAATAGGCCCGGGGAGGACAGTGCGGGCTCCGGCAGACCCCCTTTCCACCCGGGAGAGGCTTCCTGAGGCTGCGGGCGGAGGCCCCGGCACAAGGTCAGGTCCCTCCCACCCGCTCACAGCGGCCTCCCGGGCTCCTGTCTGCTGCCCAGCGGCCAGACACCTTATGTGTGTGAAGTCACGGGAGACTTCTCCGCACACAGACTGAGCCCAGCCTCAGCCTCTGTCCCGCCCAGGCCCGGGGGAGGGGGGAGGGGGGGGAATAGGGGTGGCCGCTGGGAGTCGTTCTAACCGGCTCCGGAGGTCCGATGCTGCTGCTCCCGGACACACTGGGACCCCGGCCAGAGCTGCAGGCCCTCACCCACTGTGTGCGGCATGAGGGCTGAGCAGTCCCCCGGTTCCGGGCCAGTGGCTCCCCCTGCACCCTCAGCAGTCCTCCCAGGGCCACCGACCGGGAGGAACTGCCTTGTAAGCAAGTGAGGGCAGTGGGCACGTCACCACTCCTCCGGTAACCACGCACAGCTCCCACCCCACCCCCACCCCCGCCGCAAGGGAGGCTGGGACCCACCCGGCTCCCTGCCACGCGCCCTGTGGCCATGGTATGGCGAAGGACGGAGGGAGAATGACTGCAGGCTGTGCCCGCCATCTGGTGAAGGACGGCTCCGATAAGCCCCTGGCAGGGCTGGTGCCGGCAGGCCCACCAGGTGAACTTGAACGTAGGTGGCTCCTGGGAGACTGAGCGGCCGGAGAGCAGGCGGCAGGGGAACCGGCTCTGCTCTGGCTTATCTGCTCTGGTGTCGGGGGCTCAGATGCACCCCAAGCGAGTTGTGTGATGCGGGGTCCCAGCTGTGTCGCCCGGGACACGTTACCTGCGTCTGAGCCTGAGAGAGGCCCTGTGTCAGGGTGTTTGGAGCCTGGCTGTTTGGCAGCGAACGGGCAGGGGCAGGGGTTCAGGCGTCAGGTCCCCACAAGGTGGGCCCAGGTTGACCAGCTTGGTCTCAGACATCAGGACAAACTCTGCTCAGCTTTATTGCCAGTTACACGAACCCTCAGCCAGTGCTCACGCCCACTCTGCCGGAAATGGCTGGAGATAAGAAAGCCTGTGCCATGGTGGGAACGGGCTAGGCCAGTGGTCGGCAAACTGCGGCTCGCGAGCCACGGTTTGCCGCTCTGTTGACTAATGAGTTTGCCAACCGCTGGGCTAGGCAGACACCCTGCTGCTGGCACCCTGAGCTGACCCCAGGGGGCAAGCTCTCCAGGAGGGGGCCGGCGGGGGCCGGGGCAGGACAGGAAGCAGGTGGGTGGATGGAGTTAGGCCAGAGGCCCGGAGCGAAGCGCCACTCCTTCAGCAGCCGTTCACCGGCCGCTCTGAGCACCAGGCCCCGCGCTGGGAAATGGTCAATGTGCCGCCCCTGCCTCGAGGAGCCCCCGGTTTAATGGGGAGCCCATCAGCCAACAGGACAAAGGGGGGGCTGTCGTAAGGGGTTAGGGGATCTGCAGACCCAAAGTCAGCCTGGAGAGCCCTGGGGCTGGTGGAGTCGCCCCTCGGCGATGCTGTGTTGGCGGGGGACTCGGCTCCAGGCCAGGGTGCTGAGGGCGCAGCTTGTTCTGGGGGGGCGAGGCTGCCCCAGCTGTGGAGGGAGAGGAAAGCTGGTGGCGGAGGCGCCCCCTCAGGAGCGGTGGAGTTTGGGCTTCTCCCTGGAGGGGGTGGGAGTCACTGAAGCATGTGGATGCCTGGAGACGGGAGGGACTAGGGGAGTCAGGGGGGCGGTTGGAAAGGAGATGGGGGAGGGGCTGAGGCGCCCCCTGGATTCCAGGGGAGAGTTAGCAGCAGGCAGCTGGAGGCTAAGAGTCACAGTGGGCCGGTGTCCCTTCCAGGCGGGAGGGGCCTCCACAGGAAGGCTGAGGCTCCCATTGAAACCTCAACCTGGCGCTTTCAACTCGGCTCCGACCTGGGCAGGTGGGGGCTCCGGCCCGCCTCACCCCCACGCGTGGAGGAGGTACTCGTAGCTGAGGAAGGTGACGGCGTTGACGGGGAAGGCGCGGGCGCTGTTGATGGTCAGCCCCCGGAAGAAGACGCCCAGGCCCTCCTGCCGGGCGCTGCTCACCATGCAGTCCAGCAGCCCCTGGAACTCCCGCTGCCCCAGCCCGGCCATCTGCATCCGGGACTTGACCACGTCCAAGGGGGTGGCTGTCACCCAGGAGGCGATGCCTGCAAAGCCCCCTGCCACCAGCACTGTGGCTGAGCCTGAGGTTGAGGGAGCCGGGGAGGGGGGGAAGGACAGGGTTAGAGGGGGCAGGGTCAGACCGAGGAGCGCCCTCCCCTGACCTTGCCTCCCCCATCCTCCTCGCTGGACCAGCTCCCCCCTCACTCCTCTCTGCCCCCCCGCCCTCTCACACCACCTCACTTACTGGGGTTCTGGCCGTCCGGCGTGGACTGGCGGCAGAGCCATTCGTAGGTGACGAAGTAGATCCCCAGGGTGGGGGTGTCCCTAAGCGTCAGAGCCCAGGCTCCCCGGAACAGCCCCCGCGGCCCCTCCTCCTGGAAGATGGAGGCCGCACAGTGCACGGGCCCCCGGTACCGGGGTGGGGGGCTCCCCGGCCGTGCCCGCGGCTCCGTCTGGTTCTGTAGCCGGACTTTGATGAGGTCGAAAGGGGCCAGGCAGTAGGCCTGCAGGGAAAGAAGAGTGAAGGCCCAGGAGGGGGGTCGGGGGGCCGCCCGGCTTATGCTGAGGAGGAGGAGGAAGGCGAAAGGGCACCTTCCCACAGCGCCTCCCGCTGCCAAGCCCAGCTTCTCACACTCCAAGCGGGGGTGGGCCAGGGAGTCCCCCAAACCCAGGGTGAGAGCTGACGGGTCTGAAGAAAGGCGCAGCCTGCACCCACACACCAGGGTCGTAGGTCACTGCGTTGGTGGTGGGGTCTCAGCTTCAGAGAGCCCCCTCCCCGCCTCCCGGGGCACCTCTCAGAGGGGCAGGCGCCGGGCCAGCCTTCCCGCCTCACCCTCAGCAGCTGGTGCCCGACAGAACGTGGGTGGCTCTGAGGTCTGCAGGTCCTAGAGCTCATATATATATGTATATATATTATATGTTTTGTGGTTTTTTTGGTCCTAGAGCTCTTAGCCCTGGCAGGCCAGGCCCCCTCTCCAGCCTGCGGGCAGAAGGCCACTCAGCCAGGCCGGGCGGTTGGGAACAGCCTCTCACATTCCGAGGGGACAGCCATGGTCTGCAGTGTGGCCACCACATGAGGCTAGGAGGGGAAAAACCGAACTGGCCACCCTGGCCCCTCGCGTGTGTATGTGTGCGTGTGTGTGCATGTGTGTGCGTGCTCATGCATGTGTGTGCGTGTGCGTGCTCATGCGTGTGTGTGCGCGTGCGTGTGCACGTGCCCCCCGCCCTGACCTGGAGGAAGCCCCCGGTGCAGCCGGCGATGAAGACGTGCGTGTAGCTGGGCGGCTGCAGGCGCCGCTCGTGGTGGGAGGTGGCGGTGAGCAGCAGCAGGGCGTTGCTGTAGACGCCGAAGAGCACCGAGTTGACCACGGCGATGCTGGCGATGGGGAAGCTCATGCCCTTGAAGAAGCCCAGGACCTGAGGGGCGGGCGGCACGGGGTGGTGGGGGCCTGGCCTGCCCTGTGCCCTTCCAGCCCGGCCCGGCGCTCCAGCCGGAAACCGCCTGAGCCCGCGGGGCTCTCAGCCGCCGCCGGCCGGGCCTGGGTCTGCTCCCCCAAGGGCAGAGGCTGCCTGGGAGGAGGAGGCCGGTACCGATGCGCAGAGGCCGCCCCCCCCCCCAAGCCCCAGAGAGCAGCCACCCACCGACTCGCGGCGGTAGGTCCTGACCATGCAGTCGATGATGCCTCGGTATGTGCTCTGGGTCTGCAGCCGCACCTGGAGGGGGGACGGGCAGAGGGGGCGGGCGGCTGGGCGGGCGGCGGGCATGGCAGCCCAGCTCAGCCTCTGCCCCCGGAGCAGGAGCCCGCGGGCAGCAGAGGCGGACGGAGCCTCAGCCAGGCCCTCCCTCGGGCGTCCGGCCCTTTGGTTCGGGTGACATCTCTCCTTCCTCGGCGCCTCCCCCACACTCACCTTCACGGTGTCGAAGGGGTGTCCCAGCACCAAGCCCAGGGCCCCTGCGGTGACAAGAAGGTGCTGTCAGTGAGGCCCAAGCGCCAGGCTGAGGGAGCGAGTCTGCGCTGGGAGGAAAGGGGTTCAGGCAGGAGAGAGGCAGGCCTTCCACCGGCTCCAGACACCCCGCTGGCCTGTGGGCCCTCCGCACCAGGCGCCGGGACCGGGGGACCACAGAAGGGAGCCCCCACCTGGCCTGAGGGCACACGTGCGGAAGGGAGAAGCCAACCACGGACATGGGGTCCTCACTGGGCGCCCACACCCCAGTGTCTTGCTGGCTTTTCTAGCCACGACTCTGGAGGGGTCCCCATCGCTCCTGCCTCCCTGACAGCTTTTCTCCTTCCTTCCTCCTTTCCTCTCTCTCTCCCTTCCTTCCTTCCTTCCTTCCATCAACTCACAGCTGCTGTCCAGTCTGGTGCCTTGGTCCAGTCCGGGCCCTGCCCCACTGGCGCTCTGCCCTGTCTGCCTGCCGTGCAGAGCCCGTCCTCAGGGGAGTCTCTCTGGCCCCAGGCGCAGAGGGTCCAGCCCCGGCCCTCTCCCGCCTCCTGGTCTTGCCCTCTGCAGCAGAGCCGGCCCTGGAGCCCCGGAAGAGGTGGCATCCCTGGAGGCAGGTTCAGAAAGTCCCTCTCTTTCTCCCACGAGAAGTGTCCCCAGAAGCTGAGCGGGGCCTGCAGCACAGCGGGCCTCAGGGTCCAGGCCTCGGTTCATTGCCAGGTAGGCACAGGCGGAGGGGGAACACGGGACAGTGGGTGCCCTCGAAGGTGAACCTCCTTCTGAGCCCACCATGGAGAGTGCTGTGCTGTGGGCGTCTCAGGGAGACGCTCACCTTGGCTCCCCCTCTTGGCAGGCGGCGGGCAGCATGGCCTTGGGGCAGCCCCTGTCACCTGTGCCTCCCTGTCCTCTTCCCTCGGACCGCTCCCAGCAGGCTCTGGGGCCGCTGGCCCGGACCCTCCGGGAGCCAGGACTTTGGCCTCAGCTCCTCCTATGTCACCTACCTTCCCCAGGAAGTGACCCGCCATTGGGGGATGTGACAGAGGAAGAGAGAGAGCTCACCGGAGACCCAGCCGGCCACAAACTCCTCCACAGGCATCGTCCAGCCGGGGCCGGTGGCTCCCGCAGAGCAGACGTGGTGAAAGTGTAACTACCCTCTCCCTCCTGAACCCGACTGATAACCTCCCACTAATGTTTAACCCGGCCTGGGCACCAGCGGAGGGGAGCGAGCCAGCGGGTGGCCCTGCGGCCCGGGGGGTGTGCGGTGCGGAATCTCAGGGGCCCCATGGTGGCCCCGGCGACCTGCCCGCCAACGCCGGCCTTGCGGTGTGACCAGGCCTGGCCCCTCTGGCTGCCTCGGCCAGCAGGGCTGTAATGAGTCTGCCCGGCCTGCACTCCATTAGCCCTGCAGCACAGACAGAGGCCCCCCGGTTGAGGACAGCCAGCTGGCCACCAGGGGCAGCCTGGGCCCCGTCCTCCTGAGCCTCAGAGAAACAAGGCGGCGGCAGGGAGGGAATCACCCCCTGGAGTGACTCACTCCGGCCTGGGCCTGGGCTCCTCCCAGTTGTTTACCTCCCGCTGAGTCATCCACAGCCTCACAGGGGGCGGAGTGCATGAAGGGTGGTGCACTCTCTGCTTTGGAGTGGAAGGCTCTGACCGCCACTGCTCCTTGAACAACTACAACCTTCACTGACAGGGCGGGGACCCCAATCCCTCTCCCGCAGGATGAGGGAGGAGAGGATGGAGAGAAGGGGGCTCTTATTTTTGTTTTATTAAAAAAAATACATTTGTATTGATTTCAGAGAAGAAGGGAGAGGGGGAGAGAGATAGAAACAGCCATGATGAGAGAGAATCATTGATTGGCTGCCTCCTGCACAAGATGCCCAGGCATATACCCTGACAAGGATCGAACCGTGACCTCCTGGTGCTCAGGGAAGCTCGATGCTCCACCACTGAGCCACACTGGCAGGGCTAATGTTAGTTATCTTATTTTTTTATTTTTATTTTTAAAATATATTTTATTGATATTTTACAGAGAGGAAGGGAGAGAGATAGAGAGCCAGAAACGTTGATGACAGAGAAACATCGACCAGCTGCCTCCTGCACACCCCCCACCGGGGATGTGCCCGCAACCAATGTACATGCCCTTGACTGGAATCGAACCTGGGACCTTTCAGTCCGCAGACCAACGCTCTACCACTGAGCCAAATCGGTTTCGGCTAATGTTAGTTATCTTTTTTTTTTAAAAAAAAAATATATATTTTATTGATTTTATACAGAGAGGAAGGGAGAGAGATAGAGAGTTAGAAACATCGATGAGAGAGAGTCATCGACCAGCTGCCTCTTGCACACCCCCTACTGGGGATGTGCCCGCAACCAAGGTACATGCCCTTGACCGGAATCGAACCCGGGACCCTTCAGTCCCCAAGCCAACGCTCTATCCATTGAGCCAAACCGGTCCTGGCTAATGTTAGTTATCTTGAAGGCTTAGAACAACGTGTGTTCTAAGAGTAGACACAATAAATATTCATGAAAGAACGAAGGAGTGGACGAGTCAGGGGCAGCATTAGTGGACAGCCCTGCACCGGCCCTCAGCCCCAGTCCTCTCCCCTCATCTCCAAGGGGCCGCCAAGAATGTGAAGGCCCAACAAGACCCCTCCTGCCCCTCCAGATCTGGTGGCAGCTCTGTTTCCCATCAGATGTCTGAGGACCAGTCCTGCTCGCCCTTCTCTCCCTCTGCAGAGCGGATCCCATCACCCACTGCTTTCCCCTGCGGGGTAGGCTCTGGGCAGCAGGTTTCACCTCTGACATTGCCCCCTGGAGCTGCCCAGGCTCCTGGGGCCGCCCCAAGATCTTCCCAGCACTGGCCTCTCACGGAGGGCTGGGCTGCCGTGCTCCCACTGATTCTCTCTGGAGTGATGGCGGAAAATCCCTTCGTGGGCCTCAGACTCCTTAACACTTGCAAAAGCAGGGGACCAGCCCCGCTGATGGCTGAGTCTAAGGCCTTGGCTCTCAAGGTTAGCGCCCCCCAGTGCCCTGCAGGACAGCCTCCCTGACCAGTCCTGCCAGTCCAGGTTAGCCGCCTCTGATCCCCCCCCACCCCATACGGTGCCACCCACTTCCCAGCCTCACCTGCTGCGGACTGCCCAGCGCTTCCCTGATGTTCTCACCTTCCCTTGACACTCCCACTCCCCAAAATGCCTTCGGGATCTCTGCTCCTCCGCCCTGGGCCTCAGCCTCCTCACCACCAGCACGCCTACATCAGGCTTAGCCTTGTTACTTCACCTCTCTGACTCTGTTTTATCATTGTAAAATGGAGAAATATATCCAGTGTGTTATAGAATTAAAGCCCTTAGGCTGGTCTGGCAGCTGCTCTTACTCTGGTTTCCACCCCTGGGGCCATAGGAGGCAGGGAAGGGGCTTCTGCACAGGAGAGGCTAGGGAATTGAGGCGCCTTCCCTTCCTGCTTGCGGCATTTTACATTTTTTAAGGCAATCTTGTCATCTTATGTAGTTTCAAATGTGTTTCAAATTTCACATTGATGCTTCTCTCTCTCCCCTCTTTCTCTCTCTAAAATCAATAAAATATATATATTAAAAATCTTAACACTTTAAAAAATAAATAAACCGCCGAAATCAGTTTGGCTCAGTGGATAGAGCGTCGGCCTGTGGACTGAAGGGTTCCAGGTTCGATTCCGGTCAAGGGCATGTACCTTGGTTGTGGGCGCATCCTTAGTACGGGGTGTGCAGGAGGCAGCGGATCGATATTTCTCTCTCATCCATGTCTCTAGCTCTCTATCTCTCTCCCTTCCTCTCTGTAGAAAATCAATAAAATATATATTTAAAAAATAATAAATAAACAAACCATAAGCTTCCGAGTCTCACCCAGGCCTCCCTCCTCCACCCTTGCCCAGGCCCCGCACGCAGTGAGCACTCAGCTACTCTGAACGATTGCTCCACTTTGCTCCGGCAGGTGTAGGAGGCCACGAGCCAGCGTCTGGTCTGAGGGTCAGAGCTGAGGACCAGGACGGAGATGCCTATTGCCACTGCGTCCTCTTCTCCGGCTCACATCTGAGCGTCCTGAGACCTCGGTCACTCTGGTGAGGAGGACATTGTAATGGGCTCCGTTGCGGGGCAGTGTGGGTCCTGAGAGCAGGCTGAGAGCTGTTTCAAACACGAGGAAACGAGCCAGGAGCTGGGGCTCCCTTTGGATGCCCGGGGAGCAGGGCCTGGTGACCCAGTCCTCCCCGCCTCCCGCAAACCCCTCGTTTCTGCTGGTCACCAGGTTCACCGCGGTCACTTGGAACAACCTCTGTTCCACTAGTTCCGGAAGGCGCCCCATGGACCTGTTTTTCTCCTGAGATCCACACCTCCGGCACACAAGCTGGCGTTGCCAGGGCTTGTTGGTGACGTGGCCCTGGGGACAAGCGGTTTCACACCCGCTCTTCCAGCCCCAATGCCTTTCCCAGCCCTGGGAAGGCCCTCGGGCTCCGAAGCTGTGTGTGTGTGTGTGTGTGTGTGTGTGTGTGTGTAAGATGGCTGCTCCTGGAAACAAGTGTGCCGGCCTGGAAGGTCCTTGGAGGGCACCCTTTCACAGAGGAGGAAACAGGCCCGGAGGATTAGGGGCTTGTCGGGGATGAGTCAGGACAGGGACGCAGTCCTGACCACAGCGAAGGGCCTCACCCCTCACGGGTGCTCCTGGGTCACCTGCACCCAGCACCCAGCACAGTGGCAGCCCCTGACGCATCCCAGGAGGCATCTCCTTTTCACAGGCGAGGGGAACAGGCTCAAAGGCTGCCCAGACCCCCGATTGCCTAGAACCTTCCACACCTGGTTGGAGGCCATCGGTGTGGGGCCGCTCGCCCTTGGCCACGGGGGTTCGCGGCGCGGCAGGCCCGGGGGTGACCACAGGAACCCAGGGTGCGACCCGGGCGTGCGGGACCGCGCATGCGCAGGACCGCGGGCGGCCTCGAGCGCGCGGCACCGGGCAGAGCGCGTGCGTGGCGGTCCCGGACGCCAATTGGCTCCCGCGGGCCGGGGGGCGGGGCTTGCGGCGCGGCGCTTCCTCCGCCCGGGCTTCCGCGTCGCAGCCCGGGAGCCGGAGCCCGAGGCGGGAGTCCGAGTCCTGGCGGGCGGCCCACCCGGACCGGACCGGACCGGGGCTCAGAGTCCAGGCGGCGGCCCGGGCCCAGGCGGCCGGCGCTGCGTCCCTGCGAGGTGAGAGCGCGGCGACGCCCGGCCGGCCCCGCTCCGAGGCTGCGCGGCGCCCTCCCGCCCGCGCCGGCGGCGAGCCGAGCTCCCCCCGCCCCTGCCGGCAGGCCTGCCCCTCCCACAGCGGGGGACCCGGGCCTGCCCTCCCGCTGCCCCGACCGGGGTTAGCGGGGCCCCGGGCCTCCCCTCCCGCTGCCCCGACCGGGGTTAGCGGGGCCCCGGGCCTCCCCTCCCACACCCCTGCCCGGGGTTAGCGGGGACCCCATCGCCTCCCCTCCCACAGCCCTGCCCCTGCCCGGGGTTAGCGGGGACCCCATCGCCTCCCCTCCCACAGCCCTGCCCCGGGTTAGCGGGGACCCGGGCCTCCCCTCCCGCTGCCCTGCCCGGGGTTAGCGGGGACCCGGGCTTCCCCTCCCGCTGCACGCCGTGCCCCCAGCCGCCATTCCCTTTCCCACATCAGCCCCGGACCCCTTCCTCCCTCATGAGAGGCCCCACCCCGGGCCCCCAGTAACTGCTCTCCTTCCCTCCGCAGATGGACGGGCCGGAAGGCAGTGCCGGGCAGCCCGGCCCCGCGGAGCGCTCCCATCGAAGCAGCGTGTCCTCCGTGGGAGCCCGAGGTGGGTTCTGTCGCCGTCTCCCCGCCATACCTTCCTAGGGCCCCGGCCCCGGGGGAGTGGCCTGGCTCCTTATCTGTCCCATGAGAGGGAATCTGTGTTAACTAACAAATAAGAGATGTTGAGGTGTGAAAGAGTGACCCCAGTCCATCAGAGGTGCAGGTACTGTTACTAGGTTACAACTTGGGTGCTCTTTAAAAGACATTTTTTTGATTGATTTTTAGAGAGAGTGAGACATTGATCTGTGTTCCACTTACGATGCAGTCATTGTATGTGCCTTGGCCCGGATCAAACTCACAACCATAGCTTATCAGGGTGCCACTAACCTACTGCTCCTCGGCCCCGGCCCGTCCTCTTCTTGAATCTCCCTCCCCTCATGTGTGAAACGAGCTTGTCACACGTCGCTGTACAATTCCGAAGTCTTATGAATGAAAAGCGACACGTTCACTTCCTTTGTTGGGTTTCTTGCACACAAACACCATTTGAAGGGATCGTTATGCTCACTCAGCGGAAGGAAATCGGGCTCTGAGAGGTTGTGTCAGGGTACCAGAGCCCTCAGTGCCCGTTTCCCTGCCTGAAAAGTGGGTCTGCATCTCGGCCTCCGGGAGATTGCCTCACAGTCTCCCAAGAAAGGAGCTGCCGCCTCCAGCGAGGCTCCGAGGTTGAGCGTTGACCTATGAACCAGGCGGTCACAGTTGGATTCCTGGTTAGGACATACATATGCCCAGGTTTCCGGCTGGATCCTCAGTAAGGGAGCCAGCAGATCTATGATTCTCTCATCATCCATGTTTCTATCTCTCCCTCTCCCTTCCTCTCTAAAATTAATAAAAATACTTTTTTTTTAAGAAAGGAGCTGTAGGGGAACAGACTGGTATCTAAAAAGCACCTTCACTTTATTGATGATAAACTATGCTCTCGCCTTTCCCAGGCTTCCCCTCCTCTGACTCACAGCCACTCTGGGAGGGAGGGTGTCAGCCTGCTTTCGGGGAGGCAGCCTCACTCACTGACCTGCTGACGGTGGCCAGCTGGCCGGGGCCTGGAGCCAGGATATACTGGCCTCCATGCTCAGTGCGCCGCAGGATACTGCGGTGCCAGGAATGGGGGTTTGAATCTGGCCGCTCTTCCCAGGGTCTCCCTGTGGCTCTGGGCTCCAAACAGGAATTCCGGAGGCTGTCACAAGGGAAGGCTGCGCTTGTCCTTCCGCTGGCCTCCTGAAACCATGGCACTGCGTTCTGAGGCTCGAGGAGTTCAAAGGAAGCTGAGCCCTGGGTCTTGCTTTGCCCTGGGGTGGCCTTGAACCAGAGAGAGACAGCACCTTGCCCTGCGATAATAGTGGGTCCCCAGCTCTCCCCCCTCCCAACCTGATACACCAGCTCTGTAGCCTGATGGATGGAGCCTCCACCCCCATTGATGGAATGTTCTTTCATGGAGGAAGACAGAGCAGTCCTTTGGGGCTGCTGGGGCGTGTGGCCAGCTCTCATTGGAGCCTTTGGGGGTTAGGGACCAGTCCCCGGGGCAGAGTTGCTGGGTTTCTGGGGGTTTGAGCATCTTGCGTAAGTCCTAACAGACAGCATTCTGCACAGGACCCTTCAGGGACTGTCAGTGTAGCCTAGGGCCCCCGAGAGTGTAGAGGGGGCGCCAGCCCAGCGGGACACGCCTGTGCCTGAGGCTGGCCCCCTGACCCGCCTGGCTTCCATTGCAGCAGCGGACGTGCTGGTGTACCTAGCGGATGACACCGTGGTGCCCCTGGCAGTGGAGAGCCTGCCATCCCTCAGTGCCCACGAGCTGCACCGTGCCATCCGCGAGGTCCTGCAGCTCCCGGACATCGCCCTGGAGATCTTCGCCCTCTGGCTGGTCTCCCCTCTGCTGGGTAAGGCGTGGCACTGAGGAGCCCAGGTGGGAGGTTATTGATCAGCTTCCAGAACCTGTGGCCCCCGTAGTCCGGGAAAGGCGGGGCTTGTGTGGGTCTGGAGCTGTCTGTCCACCTTTCAAGGACCCAGAGCCCTGAGGGCATGCCTGGCTCCTCTGCCCCCACCTCCTCTCTGCTGGTGGCAGGGGAGGGGCCGAGCTGCCCCGCAGCCTCAGCAGTCTGGAGCGGGGCAGGAGCAGTGAGCCTAAGGAAGTGATCTGCGTGCGCCTAGCACATGCTCTGTGCCACCACCCGAGCTGGCATTTCGTGAGCAGAGTTTCACTTATCCTCACGGCCCAGCCCTGACTTGCAGATGTCAAAATTGAGGTTTGGGTGGTGGGACCAGCGAGAGGTAGGACCAAGGTCAGAACAGAAGCCTGGGCGGCCCGCAGCTGACCTCTTTGAACTGCCCCTGCTCTGGAGGGCAGGGACCAGGTGGTGATCAGCCCGGAAGCTGCCGCTGCTGACTTTTCCTGAGCGCGGGAAGGCGGGACGAGTGGGGACTGACTGCCCTGCCGCGCGGCCTCCGGCCTGCCTGGTGTCTGGCCTGTGACCACCAGTGTCCTTCCTGCCCTTCCAGGCTGAGGTCCCCGAGGCGGGGATGGTGCGGGGCGGAGGGAATGGCTCTCCGGACCTCAGGCCTGGGAGGGGAGGGCGGGGGTTCCCTGGGGCCGCCAGCCTCCTGGCGTGGGGGGGGGGGGAGGGGGCGGGCACCGGGAGCCAGGGCCAGGCATGTTTTCTGAGCTTAAACTTTCTCTTTCAAGAATAGGGACAAGAAGGGGGTGACTGGGGTAGATGGGGGGACACATATGTAACACCTTAATCTCTAAAAAAAGAAGGGGGTCACTGGTCCCAGGGGCCCCTAGTGGTTGGGGTTTGTGCCTCTACCCTGGCGGGGTTATCAGCTAGCTTGGTGGGAGAGTGGGTGCCTGCCCCCCCCCCCCCCCCCCCGCCCAGCAGTTAGAGCTTCCTGCCAGCTGCTGCTCTCGCCCACCCTCTTCCTGCTGACCGCTCTCCGGCTGCTCCCCGCCCGGCTCAGCTGCCCCTCCTTTCCCCCAGGCTGCTGGGCAGGACTGCGGGCCCCTGGGCTGGTGTGTTTGAAAAGCTGGGGTGGCGGTTCCCGCGGCTGCCCTGCCTCGGCTCCTGTCCCTACAGCTGGCCACAGCTTGTTCCTCCTCCCACTTCCTCCGCCCCCCCCCCCCCACTGCATTCCTGCTCCCACGCAGGGAAGTGAATGGACCCTGTGTGTCCCTGCGGCCAGTCACCCAGGGACCTGCCTCCTCCAGGAGGAGGGCGGCTGGAGGCCCAGCACGAAGTCAGTGCCCCTTTGTTCCCTCGCTGCGCTCAGGGAGGCCGAAAGGTCACTTTAGCTTTGACTCGGCCCCTCAGAGCCTTTGCCCCCCCCCCCCAGAGTGGGTGAGCACTCTCGGATGCCCAGGGCAGTGAGGCAGAGGGGTGCCGTCTGCCAAAGCTGCTCTTCCTTTGAGCTGGATGTTTGGAAGGGTTTGACCTTCTCAATGCCATTGTCACTCTACATGGAACAGGGTCCAGGGACAGTCTGTCTGTCTGTCTGGGTGAGTTTCCAGCAGAAAGGCCCATCTGAAGTGTGTCTCCGTGGGTCAGCATAGTCCTGTTCTGAGAATGGAAGTTCTCTGGAGTGTAAGGCTGGTCGGGGCTGGGCCATTGGCAGAAGGGAGCACCTGCCTCAGGTCCCCGCCTCCAGTGTGTCTGGGGGCTCAGCGAGTCAGCTTCCTCGTTCATCTCACAAGTGTGTGCAGAGCCCGCCCACCCCTCCTTCCGGACAGCCCTCTGGATGCTGGGATTATAGCGGGAACAGGACCAGAGGTGCCCCTGCTCTCAGGGAACTTACAGTCTAAAGTGTGGGGCAGCTGGCCGGTGTTGCTCAGTGGATAGAGCATCAGCCTGCGTACTGAAGGGTCCCAGGTTCTAATTCTGTTCAAGGGCACATGCCCTGGTTGTGAGCTCGATCCCCAGTAGGGTGCGTGCAGGAGGCAGTTGATCAGTGATTCTCTCTCATCATTGATGTTTGTCTCTTCCCTCTCCCTTCCTCTCTGAAATCAATAAAAATATATTTAAACAAATAAGTAAATGAAAATGTGGAGCTTCGGGCTCTGCTTCCTAATGGCAGTGCCAGGTGGACCTGTACCGCCACCCACACCTGCCCCCGTGCAGCCCGGGCTCCGGCCTGCCCTGGCGCGGGAGAGAACAGTCGGGCTGCAGCCTAACCTCTGAGCCTCGCTTTCTCTGGATGCAGTGAGGATGGGCATGGCAGACTGTGCCCCTAAAGGTTCGGGCCTTTCAGTGCCTGCTCAGTTGACATTGACCATGACTCCGTCGTTGCGGAGGGGCGGATGGCAGCGCGCTTGCCGTGCCCTTGCTGTCCGCCGCCCTGGCAGAGGCCACATGGCTCCCCTCTCGCCTGCAGAGGTGCAGCTGAAGCCCAAGCACCAGCCCTACAAGCTGGGCCGCCAGTGGCCAGAGCTGCTGCTGCGCTTCACCGACGCCCCGGATGACGACGTGGCCACAGGTGAGGTGCTCCCCGCCCCATCTCAGCCCCCGGGCGGGAGCACCGGCTCCCAGGCCCGTCAGCCTCTCCTGGCAGGAGAGCCGGGGGCCTGAGGGGAGCGGGGGCCTGAGGGGAGCCGGGGGCCTGAGGGGAGCCGGGGGCCTGAGGGGAGCCGGGGGCCTGAGGGGAGCCGGGGGGCCTGAGGAGAGCCGGGGGGTCTGAGGGGAGCTGGGGGCCTGAGGGGAGCCGGGGGGCCTGAGGAGAGCCGGGGGGTCTGAGGGGAGCCGGGGGGCCTGAGGGGAGCCGGGGGCCTGAGGGGAGCCGGGGGGCCTGAGGGGAGCTGGGGGCCTGAGGGGAGCCGGGGAGCCTGAGGGGAGCCGGGGGGCCTGAGGGGAGCTGGGGGCCTGAGGGGAGCCGGGGGCCTGAGGGGAGCCGGGGGCCTGAGGGGAGCCGGGGGCCTGAGGAGAGCCGGGGGGCCTGAGGAGAGCCGGGGGGTCTGAGGGGAGCTGGGGGGTCTGAGGGGAGCCGGGGGGCCTGAGGGGTGCCCGGGAGAGGACGGGCTGGGAGGCCAGCGAGCTTGTCCAGATAAGCCACCCCCCTGTGCCCAGCCCCAGGCTTCCTCAGCCTGAGCCTGGGGTCGGGACTGGCCGGTCGGAGAGGGCTGGGCAGTGACCCGGCCTCTCCCCCCAGATGAGCCGTCCCTGCAGTTCCGAAGGAACGTGTTTTTCCCCAAGCGGAGGGAGCTCCAGGTGAGCCGGGACCGGGCAGGTCTGGTGCCCTGTGTGTCGCCTCCCCTTGTCCCCGGATCCCCGGACCCGGGGCCGGAGCTAGCTGAGCGGCCTCCCTCCTCAGATCCACGACGAGGAGGTGCTGCGGCTGCTGTACGAGGAGGCCAAGGGCAACGTGCTGGCGGCGCGGTACCCCTGTGACGCGGAGGACTGCGAGGCGCTGGGCGCCCTGGTGTGCCGCCTGCAGCTCGGGCCCTTCCAGCCCGGCCAGCCCACCGCCTGCGCCGTGAGGTGAGGCCGCGGCCTGAGGCGGGGGGGGGGGGGGGGTCGCCCCAGAATGCTATTCCAGTCTTTGTGGGTGAGCCCTCCCTTCTGAGCCTCCTCTTCCTCATCTACCCGGGGCTGAGGGCCCGCTGGGGAGGGGGAAGCATGTCTGTGGTCGCCCCAGCCCTCGGTGTGCCTGAGGAGGAGCCAGCCTCTATGTGAGGTCAGGAGGGCGCTGGGCTTGCTTGTTGTGGTCACAGGGACTGTGCAGGCACGCGTGATGGCAGTGCCCACAGCAGCCCTGAGAAGGGGGCAGCCCCCTGGAGACCCCCCTCACGCCGCCCTGCTGCCGGCTCTCCTCGCCCTCCCCCGTGGCCGCTGTGTGGTCCTCCCTCTGTCAGAAACGCAGCTGCAGGGAGATGTGTGTGACACGCTGTGCTCTCAGTGGCTGTGGTTACACATGGGAGGCCGAGGCCAGCTGTGGCTGGTGCTGAACCGCCAGCATGCGGCCGGGAGTCACCGGGCTGTCCTCTGTGTGTGAGTGAAATGCCCTCTTTCACGGACCTGCACCGTGGACTGCGGCTGGTGTTTCCCTGCATCCCTGTTTGGCAGAGGAAAGCATCGGGAGCTCTGGGTCGCTCGTGCCATTTTTGGTTGGGAAAGTCCCGCTGGTCCGGGGAGCCACGTCTCCCTGTGGAACTCCAGCCGCAGCCTGGTCCGGGCGGCCGGGTGGCTCTGCTCCATCTCCTGACTCCCGTCAGTGTGCTGGCGGTGGCAGCAGCGGGTCCTTGGCAGTTCACGCCTGCCCTCCCCCCATGAGCGGGTCCGCACCGGGGGACCCTGGCCTGTCAGCCACGAGCCTCACGCGGAGCCTCCCTCCCTCCCTGCAGGGAGAAGCTGGCCTCCTTCCTCCCCGCCCACCTGTGTAAGCGAGGCCACGGGCTCTTCGCCGCCCTCCGGGGCCGCGGGGCCAAGGCCGGGACCAGCGAGCAGGGCCTGCTCAGCGCCTACCGCAGGGTGAAGGAAGGCAGCGGCGACAGCGAGCGGGAGGCGTCTCTGCGGACCCACTTCCAGGCCTACCTCGCCAAGTGCCACGAGCTTCCCTACTACGGGTGAGCCCGCCCCGGCTGCCACGCCCGGGTCCCCTCCGTCCCCGAGACGCCGCTAGATACCAGGCGGCTGCTCCGGGAGGCGGGTGGTGTCTGGGTCTAGCGTTCGGTATAATTGGTGAGTCGTCAGCACGTGGCTGGTGTTTGAAAGCGGGGCCCTAAAGGGGTGGTCAAGGAGGTGCGTGTGGACGGAAAGAGGACCCCAGCCAGCAAGGCGGGAGGGTGTCCACAAGCCAAGCAAAGGGAGGTTGAGGGCGTGACCAAGCACCCCATGCTGCTGCTTCAAGGTCAAGTTCACGTGGCCTGTGTGGCTGCCAGCAGTCCTGCTCTGGCATCGAGGAGGAGGCAGCGGGAGGAGGAGAGAAAAACTGGGAGGCAGTGAGTGCAGCCAGCTTTCCCAGGACTGCGCTGTGGATGGGCAGCGTGTGGGTGCGGTGGGAACAGGTTTTTATTTTTTTATTTATTTTTTATTTTTTATTTTTTTAATATATTTTATTGATTTTATACAGAGAGGAAGGGAGAGAGATAGAGAGTTAGAAACATCGATGACAGAGAGTCATCGATCAGCTGCCTCTTGCATACCCCCTATTGGGGATATGCCCGCAACCAAGGTACATGCCCTTGACCAGAATCGAACCCGGGACCCTTCAGTCCCAAGCCGACGCTCTATCCATTGAGCCAAACTGGTCCCGGCGGGAACAGGTTTTTAATTCAGTGACAGGCGAGTGTGTGCTGATCGGGTGGGCCAGTGAGTGACAACTTGAGATGAGGGTGGCGAGTGGCCTTCTGGTGGCTTCGGTTTGCCCGGCCCTCGGCCGACCTGTGAGGTCTCCGGCCGGACTGCGGTGGTGATGGGGGCTCGCTCCTTAGTGGCAGGCGGTGAGCGCTTGTCTTCAGCCCTGCCCGCTGCGCCCGTGCAGGAGTCACAGAGGTGGGACACCTAGGACTCTGGCTTGGCCCAGGGCAGGTGGGGAGGGGCAGCCACAGGAGCGAGAGGACACGCCGGGCAGGAGGGAGAGGCTGGCAGCTCAGTGGGTGGCATCCCAAGGCCACTCACCCTCTCCCCGTCTCTGTGTCGAGCCCTGAAGCTGCTTCCCTGGCAGTTCCCGCCTCTCGTGGGCCCCAAGCAGGGGCAGCCCTGACCCCTCTCTGCTGCTGAAGGCAGGGCTCTCCCAGCCCGACACGGCCTGCCACCTCCGGCGGCTCAGCCCTGGTCCTCGGGCTCCTGGCGGCTCTGCCCGCACCTGGATTCACGCTCTTCCCTCTGCCTGTGGTGCCCCCTCTGTGTGCCACTCAGCCCCACCTCCTGCCTGTCCACACCCTCCTGTCCTGCACACCCGCTCCCATGCCACCACCTCCAGCCTTCCTCCCCTGGGGCGCGTTCCCCGTAGCCTCCAGCCACCCTCGCTGGTGATGAGCCACAGCTGAGCCGTCTGCTCGGTGCTGGCGGGACCGGCTGACGCAGCTCCCTCCCCAGGTGTGCCTTCTTCCACGGCGAGGTGGACAAGCCAGCCCAGAGCTTTTTGCACCGGGGCGGCCGGAAGCCGGTGACGGTAGCCATCAGTCTGGAGGGTGTGCATGTCATCGACAACAGGGAGAAGGTACCTCCAGCTCCTCCAGGATGGGACCTGGGGGTCTCGGTGGAGAGGAGGGGAGTGGGGTCCGTACACAGGCCTTCCGGGTTACCCTGGGCCTGGGGTTGGCCTTGGGCAGGGTGGGTGGCCTGTCCGAGAGGACCCTCCCTCCCTCGATGTCCCCGGCTTCCCTGTCATCCTGTGGCGTTTCTGGGTCTGCTCTGGGGCAGCCCAGTGTGCTGGGCAGTGGCTGCCCGGGCAGGGAGGCTGCAACTGGGATGAGGCCTCTGACTAGAGGGACCCTGTCAGGCCTGGCTGTTCTGCCCTCCAGTGGCGGGAGACCAGCTCTGGTTTCCCAGAAATGCCCAGGACCAGGAGCCCTCCTGGTGGTCCGTGTCCTGCTTCTCACTGCATTGGCTGCCGGTGGTGAGGGCAGTGGTGGCAGCCGCCCTGTGGGCAGCGTCCCTGCACCCGCTCAGGAGCCCTCCGCAGCTGGCAGGACTTTGCTCAGCTCCTGGGTCTCCCTCCCCACTTGCTCTTCCCCCACGTGATACCCTGTTGGGCTTGACCCGCTGGTGAGACGCACTGTGGTGAGGGTGTCTCATCCTCCTGGGTCTGATGGAAGCAGGGACCCCTCTCCCTGGAGAACTCACGATTGCAGACTCAGCCTTGGAGTTAAACAGCCAGGAGGCCCCTTCCGGTGGCGCCGGGCCAGGCGGGGCAGAGGAGAGACCTCTGCCCCGGTCCAAGCTCTGCCTCTCCGCGGACCAGCACGTCCTGCTGGGCCTGCGTTTCCAGGAGCTGTCCTGGGACCACACGTCCCCCGAGGAGGAGGAGTCTGTCCTGTGGCTGGAATTCGATGGCAACAATGAGGGCACGCCAGTCAACAAGCTGCTCAAGATCTACTCCAAGCAGGTAGTGGGGGTGAAGGGCCATTGAGGGCCAGGGACTGGGGCGCTGGCTTCTACTGGCCTGGGCCACCCTCGCGAGGTAGCTGGGCCTGGCCGGGAGTGTCACACACCGTGGCGGCTGTGTGTTGAGGGCTTCCCAGTGCTGTCGACGGGGTCACCCACACCAGCTCCCTCTGTCCTTGAGGCCCCCGAGAGTTAGCTGCTCTGAGATGAGGGGCAGCACGGAAAGGTTAGGGCCCCTCTGCACCTGTGCGCCATTTACTGCTTGTGTCCAGGAGCTCTTTCCTCTCTCAGCTTTGACTGCCTCGCTGTCCCCATCTTCATGCTGATGACCACACATTTTACATTGCTACTCTAGACCTCTTTTTGAAGTGAATGTTGTATTGAATTATAATATACAGAAAAGTACCCAAATCTAAGTGTATCACTCAATAGATTTTCCCAAAACAAACCCATGTGCCACCTTTCAGGTTAGGAAGTAGAGCCAGGACCCTAGGAGACCCCTCAAGCACCCTTCCAGCCCTTCTCCCACAAAGAATAACCCCCTCCCCACTCCTGACTTGTATCTGCCAGTCATTGTGTCTGTCTGCGAACCTTCTAGCAGCCGTTCCCCAGTGTGTTCCTGTGGCTGGTTTCTCGCTCAGCGTTCTCTCGTTCTCTCGCTGGCGGACCCTGGTGTCTGGTTTGGGATGTTGCGGGCAGTGCTGCTTGTCTGGTCCACGCAGGAGTGCAGTGGCTGTCACAGTGGGCCGCGCTCAGCCTTTGTGGACACGGCCAGCTTCCGAAGCGGATGTACCAGTCTGCACTCCACAGGGTAGATGAGAGTTGATAAAACAAGCTCCAACGCCTACTGTTACCAGTCGGGGGGTGGGGGGTGTTTTAAGTTTTTATTGATTTTAGAGAGTGAGGAAGGGGGAGAGAGAGAAAAACATTGATGTGAGAGCTAAACATTGATCAGCTGTCCTGCACACGCCTTAACCGGGGATGCAACCACAACACGGGTATAAGCCTGGCTAGGAATTGAACTAGTAACCTTTCAGTGTGCAGGGCAGCACCCAACTGAGCCATAGGGGGCCAAAGCTACCAGTTTTTTTGTGTTCATTTTAGCCACTCTGGTGGGTGAGGAGCGGTATCTCCTTATAATTATTTTTTAAAATATATTTTATTGATTTTTTACAGAGAGGAAGGGAGAGGGATGGAAAGTTAGAAACATCGATGATGAGAGAGAAACATCGACCAGCTGCCTCTTGCACACCCCCTACTGGGGATATGCCCGCAACCAAGGTACATGCCCTTGACCGGAATCGAACCTGGGACCTTCCAGTCCATAGGCTGACACTCTATCCACTGAGCCAAACCGGTTTTGGCTCTTTTGTTTTTTATTCAACTTCATTGAGGCATAATTTACAATAAAATGCAACCATTTTAAGAGTGAGGTTTTTTTTTGTTTTTTTATTTTGTTTTTGTTTTGTTTTTGTTTTTGTTTTTTAATATATTTTATTGATTTTTTACAGAGAGGAAGGGAGAGGGATGGAAAGTTAGAAACATCGATGATGAGAGAGAAACATCGACCAGCTGCCTCTTGCACACCCCCTACTGGGGATATGCCCACAACCAAGGTACATGCCCTTGACCGGAATCGTACCTGGGACCCTTCAGTCCCTAAGCCGACGCTCTATCCATTGAGCCAAACCGGTTTTGGCTTAAGAGTGAGTTTTGACAACTATCTCCACCACAGACAAGTTATGGAGTAGCTTATTTGCTGTTTGTGTTTCTTTTTTTTTTTTTTTTTTTTTTTGTGTGTGTGTGTGTGTGTGTGTGTCACCGGTTTATTATCCAATAAATATTTTGTGGTTTGATGTGCAATATGGTGTTTTTTTTTTTTTTTTTTTTTTTTTTTTTTTTTTTTAATATATATATTTTATTGATTTTGTACAGAGAGGAAGGGAGAGAGATAGAGAGTTAGAAACATCGATGAGAGAGTCATCGATCAGCTGCCTCTTGCACACCCCCTACTGGGGATATGCCCGCAACCAAGGTACATGCCCTTGACCGGAATCGAACCCGGGACCCTTCAGTCCCCAAGCCGATGCTCTATCCATTGAGCCAAACCAGTCTCGGCCAATATGGTGTTTTTTAATACATTCTGATTAGAAAACCAATCATAAAACATTCTGTAAGAGTCAGACACAACTGAATTAGAAGGGAAATGACTTCATTATATTATGTTTGGCCACAACCATTTCCTTCACCCAATTTTCTCGAAAGCGAGTCGTTCCTGGTCTGTATATTAGTGACTGTCCTTCAAAGCTATAAGAGATTTCAATGGGTGCATCCGGTTTGCTGGGCCGCACAGTCGCCTTGGGGCAGCTCGGGCTTCGAGGAAGCGGAGGAGCTCTAGACTCTCAAGCTGCAGCGAGGCGCCGCCCCCGCGAGGCGCCTGTTTGTGTTTCTTCCTAGAGGTGAAATGCCTGTGTGTGTGTGTGTATATATATATATATATATATTTTTTTTTTTTAAGAGAAAGGAAGAGAGAGAAAGAGAGGGAGAGGAAGAGGGAGAGGGGGGGGAGGGAGAGAGAGAGACATTGATTGGTTGCCTCTCGCACAAGCCCCAGCTGTGGATTGAACCTGAAACCTGGGGACGTGCCTGACCAGGAATTGAGGCCGCCACCTTTCCGTGCGTGGGATGACACTCGAACCAATTGGGCCGCACCAGCCATTCACGTCTTTTGCCCATTTTTTATTGGCATTATTTCTGTCACCACGTGGGGTGGATTGCTGGGTTCTGTGATAAACATGTGACTGGCTTTAGTGGACACTGTCAGCCTGTTTCCTCAGTGACGGTCCTGTTTGCGTTTCCACCCGTGTCTGGTCCCTCTGCGTCCTTGTCAGCACTTGGTCTGTCAGTCTCATTTGCTTGTTTGCCATTCTCATTACTTTGTAATAGTGATATGTCACTTATGTGGGGTTTTGTGTGTGTGTGTGCATTTAATTCTAATCCAGGGATGTTTTTCTATTGATTTTTAGAGTTAGTGGAAGGGAAGGAGAGAAAGAAAAACATTGATGTGAGAGAGACGCATTGTGGTTTTAATTTGCATTTTCCTAACGACTAATGATGTGACCATCTTTTCATGTATTTATTTGCTATCCATACTTCTCTTTTTTAATTTATTTTTTAAAAATCAATCTTTATTGTTCATATTATTACAAAGGTTCCTCATTTCTTCCCCCCTCCACCAGGTTTCCATCCCACCTAATTTATTTTTTTATTGTTTGAAATATTACAAATAATAGTACATATGTCTCCTTTTTTTCCCCCATTGACCTTCCCCAGCTTCCCCTACCCCCAGAACATGCCCTCACTTGCACCCCTCCCCCCAATCTCCATCCCTTCCCTCTGCCTGCTGGCACCCGTCTTGGCTGGCCTGGTGCTGCCTGCTCACTGGCCCAGCCCCCACTGATCTGATTATCACTCCACCGTTCGATCAATTTGCATATTAGGCTTTCACTATATAGGATGTGTAGGCTTTCCTTATATAAGATGTGTTGTTCACATTTGTATCTTAGGCTTTCCTTATATAGCATGTGTTGTTTCACTTTGGTTGAGAAGGCTTCACTGTTGAAGAATGTGCTCAGTGGGAGCCACCCACCCCTCCCCCATGACCTCACTGCCGCCTTCCTCCCCTCTTGGGCCTGCAGGCTTTTCCGGCCAACACGCATGCAGTTCCTTCAGCGCCAAGGCCTGCCTGGCCCCGTCCTCCCCTCCGATCTCATCCTCTCCATAGCAGCGGCCCCCTGCCTTCCCAAGCTGTGCCCCCTGCCTTCCCAAGCTGTAGAATGTTCTCTTCCCCACCCACCTCCCAGGCCTGGGACCCCCACTCACCCACCAGGACAGGTGGGCCGCCTGCCCTGCCCGTGGCCCGCAGAGCACCTGCCCCGCTTGCTTTCCTGTGTGAATGGCATTGTTTCCTCACGTGCCTCCCCCACCAGAGAGGGCAGGGACGTCCATCTGGTTCCTCTCGCTCTGCAGGGGCCTGGGCCTGGCCCCCCTCTGGTCCTCACGCTGGCCTCTCCCCTCCCCCTCCCCAGGCTGAACTGATGAGCAGCCTCATCGAGTACTGCATCGAGCTGAGCCAGGCCTCTGAGCCGGCTGCCCCCCAGGAGGGCGCCTACGGTCCCTCCTCCACCCCTGGCTCATCACTGCCTCCCGCTCAGCGCCCCCAGCTCCGCAGACAGGGCAGCGTGGTGAGCAGCCGGATCCAGCACCTGTCCACCATCGACTACGTGGAGGAGGGTGAGTGGCCTCCTTGTGGGGAAGTATCAGGCCCGGGCGCTGAGGGGAGGGAGGCTGGGAGCCACTGGCTGAGGGGAGGGCTGGTGAGAGCGTCACAGCTGAGCTCTGGGGTCCCACAGAGGCCCTGGGGTCCCGGCGAGAGTCCTGCTCTGCCCCTCTCACTGCTGCGCCCAGTCGTGGTCCCTCAGGACTGGCCCGGTGTGGAGACTAGGGTCCCAGAGCAGACAACACTGTGGAGGGACGGGTGAAGCCTGCATTGCCGCTCACAGGAGCCTGTTGTCTCTGCACCCACACCAGCCCGAGGGCACTGGGAGCTTCTAGTCTCACGTCTGAGAGGCAGTGAGTGGTACTGTCCAGGGAGAGGAGCAGGTTGCTGTTTGAATTCTAGTGAAGTTGGACCATTTTTATGTGCGTGATCATGTATGTTTTCTTCATGAATTACTGTTCACGTATGTTGCCTGTTTTTCTTTTTCCGCTTGATTTTTTAAAATTAACATCTTCTGTTAACATGGCATATATATTGTAATTAATGAACTAATATTGATAACATTTTTTTTTTTTATTTCAGAGAGGAAGAGAGAGGGAGAGAGAGAGAGAGAAACATCAGTGATGAGAGAGAATCATTGATTGGCTGCCTCCTGCTTGCCCTACACTGGGGATCAAGCCTGCAACCCAGGCCTGTGTCCTGACTGGAATTGAACCCACACCTTTCAGTCCGCAGGCGGACGCTCTATCCACTGAGCCACACCAGCGAGGGCTGGTTCTCATATTGTTTTTTTGTGTGTGTTTTTTTTTAAATATATTTTATTGATTTTATAAGAGAGGAAGGGAGAGAGATAGAGAGTTAGAAACATCGATGAGAGAGAATCATTGATCAGCTGCCTCTTGCACAACCCCTACTGGGGATATGCCCACAACCGAGGTACATGCCCTTGACCGGAATCGAACCCGGGACCCTTCAGTTCCCAAGCCGACGCTCTATCCATTGAGCCAAACCGGTCCCGGCTGGTTCTCATATTGTTAACTGAAGTCCTTAGTGTAGCCTTGTGTCTCATTTTAGTTCATGGACCATCTGGACCCCACACTGTGCTCAGTTGTCATGGCTCCTCTTGGCTGTGACCGTTTCTGACCTTGGCAGTTGGGGGCGCGGGGGCTGGTCAGGGACATTGTAGGATTCCCTTCTCTGGAGTTGGATGTTTATCTCGGGACTAGACTGGGCTTCCGGCTTGGGGGGAGGAGGGTCCCAGAGATGGAGTGCCCCTTCGACCCCATCCTGTCAGAGGTGTTCCCAGCAACATGCCACCTGCTTGAAACTGGGCCCTCCTGAGGTTCTGTAGCCTCGCTGAGCTCCCCTCAGCCTCCTGGAGGTCCAGGGCCTTTGTTTCCTTGGTCTGTTCGGGAATAGGTTTTAGCAAAGCTCCTCAGGCACCACGGCTGGGCCAGCGTCACTCACACACGGATCTGCCTCTGGTTGGGGCTGTGACACGCCCGCCCACCACCCGTCCCTGGTGGGAGAGCGAGGCCAGAAGGCGGGCAGGTGTGAGAGGGGAGCTCAGCTCAGAGCAGGCTCCGGGGCTGGGCCTCCCGGAAGCCCTCCTCAGTGGGTCCTCACCCAACAGGCGAGCAGATCAGGCCGGTGAAGCCGAAGCGCACCACGTCCTTCTTCAGCCGGCAGCTGTCCCTGGGCCAGGGCAGCTACACCGTGGTGCAGCCCGGCGAGCGCCCGGACCAGAGCTGAGGCCGCGGCGTGGCAGGAGGAGGGCAGGGCCGGGTGTGGCCCTGAGTTGGAAGAAGGCTACCTCGACACTGGAGCAGGGACGTCTGCTTGGCTGTGCCGGGCTGTGCCCAGCGGCTCAGGGACCCACCGGACCCTTCGCAGCCTCCCCCCCGCACTGGGCCCCGCTGCCACCCAGGACCTCTCCTCAGGCCCGGACCCCCCTTACCCAGGGACTCGCCTGTGGGCCCCTCAAGACGGCCAGCGCTTCCTGCTCTGAAGCCCCGCGGCGGCTCCCACGGCAGGAGGCCAAGGACCAGGGCTTGGGCCTGCAGGTCCAGTGTGTGTCTTTGTCCTCCCTGGACTTCGGCGACCACGTCCCCGCAGTGCCTGGCCAGCATTCCACGCATGTGCAGGCGGGCGTCCCTGGCGGGTGGGCCGGGCCTCCAGAGCTGAGCCATGGCCGTGGCAGCGCCGGGAGGAGAGCCGCACTCATGCCCTCCCTGGATGGAGGGAACCGGAGGGACTGGGCAGGCCCAGCGCAGCGGGGGCAACTGTGCCCTCAGGCCTCTGTGGGCAGGGACGCGGACCGGAAGGAAAGTGCCTCTTTGCTGGTTTTGGTGACGTCACTGTGCTGGAGGGCCCCCACCCCCACTGGGAGAAGCTCCCAAACCCCAGCTTCAGGTTGTTTTAGTTTTTACTCATCAGCTTTGGTTCCTGGAACCCAGTAAACTCTGAAGCAACTGGAGAGAACTCCGCACCCTCAGAGCCCGCTCCCCCTCAGAGGTGGCGTGTGCTGGGGGCTGGCCAGGCGGGAAGTCCCACCCCAACAGTGGTCCCTCTTTCTTGGGAACAAATGGCCACGGTGAATGTGGCGCCGGGCCTGGCCAGCCCAGGAACTCCCCGCCCTGGGGCTCCCCTGTGGGGGGCCTGGCCCCACTTCCTGGGACTTTCCGCCAGGAAGAGGCGCCACTCAGCCAGCTCAGGGCTCGCTTTGTCTCCTTCCTGGCGGGCTGTGGGTGAGGAGATGCCAGCCACGCCTCCAGATGCCAGAGCCACCTCCTCCCTGGTGAGTGGGAACTCCAGGTGTCTCAGGTGGGCTCGCCTCAGGCAGCAGGGACCCGTATTTGTCATAAAAGGTGCCCAGCCTGGAGTCACTGGCCTCCCGCTGCCCAGCCATCTGGCTCCCGGCCCCTGGCCCTCTGGCCCACACACTGTTTTGATGCCAAGTGCACTCTTATCTGATGGGCCCCGGGGCCTGTGGGTGTGGCGGGCGTGTGTGCACACAAATTACTTGTTTTTACTCCTGTCTTCCTCCTGTTTTCTAAGCAGCCATTGTGTCTTAACCTTTCCTGCCTGTCCTTTGGGACAAAGCCTTTTGCTAAATGTCCTTTAAATATTCTGATTGTTTTGTACCACGGGACTTATTAATAATAAAACCTTTCCAGCAGCTTCGGTGTTTGTGAGTAATGAGAGTTGGTCCCAGCCTGGGAGCCGGTCACAGCGGTGTGTGGGCTTTTATTCTCTATGCGGCCCTCGGGCTCCCGTGCTGAACCCACGGAGCAGCCAGTGAAGCTGTCGATCTTGGTGTGTGGTCAGAGTAAGAAGGTCCAGGAGAGGTTTGGGGGTTCGTGGTGGGAACCAAGGCAGGAGTCCTGCGGGGAGGCAGGGGAACAGGAAGTGACAGGCTGCTGGGCCTTTATCCCTGTCCTGTGACCCTGAGCCACCTGTGGCCAGGTGCCTCCTCACACGGGGGGATGGGCCCAGGGCAGTGCCTCGGGAGATGGCAGAGAGCCCAGGAGGTTTGGGCCATTCTTGAGCCCTCCCTGTGGGCTCCCCGGGCCAGGGCCAGCATCAGGCCAGCCCTCCGGAGCGCTGCGGACCCCACAGGAGCTGCGCGGCAGTGAAACCCGTGGCGCTGGCCTGTGGCTGAGGTCCCGTGCCCAGAAAGCTGGAAGGGAGAGCGGGACTCGCCTGGGGCCGGGCCTGCCGATGGCACAGGCACCCATCCTGATGGTTCTGGGAGCACCGGGCCTGGGGCTTGGCAGGCCTGGAGCCCCTCCTCTGCCCAGGCCCTCTGCCCGCTCCACCCGGCTAGTGTCCTGTGGCTGCTGTGACTGACAACCATGATCCCGGTGGCTTACACAGCACACTCACTGTCTCAGCTCTGAGGTCGGAGTCTGAAGGGAACTCGCTGGATGAGGGGAGGGAGTGGGCAGGGCTGCATTCCGTGCTCTGGCAAGAACCTGTTCAGGGCTCCAGCTTCCAGAAGCCCCTCCCTCCATCTTCAAGTCCGGGAAGGAGACGGGGTCCTCAGCCCACACTCAGTCCCTCCTCCACCTCTCTCCGCCTCTCCTCTGCCTGCCACGTCCAGTGTAAGGACGCTGTGATTATTACTATCCTGGGCCCAGGTGGATGACCCGTCTTCTCCCTACAGTCAGCTGATGAGCCACTTAATCCCTCTGCTGGGGAACTCACAGCCTGGGGAACAGCTCGCAGCTGTGTGTGGGCTTTTTATTAACCACTAGTGGCCCGGTGCACATTGAAAGGAAATGAATTCGAAATATTTTAATATCGCCATTCGCCCTTTATAATGGAAGTGTCAACCAAATTCACAATCGACAATGACAGATGGAAACACGTGTGCCATTGGCACCAGCGAGAGCTTTGTATGTATTGTGCTGCGTGACGAGTCAACTTAGCCTCTTATAGAATAAACTGGCTTAATTAGACCTGCTTTCTGATGTAGCTAAGCTTTTTCCAGCCCAGTGGAGCACCCCAACTTTTCTTTCAGGTAATTGTCAGCAACACAGCAGTAAATATCAGCACGAAGCACATCATTATTGTAGATCATACAGGGAGAACACAGGGTGAAACATTTAACTGCAGCAGAGTTTGACTGTACTCTGCGCAGTGAGAAAACCTGAGGATATTTTCAAGATCCACCATTTCTTCTTTCTCAATCGGGTCACATTTTTAAACTTTCAAATCTCCGTTTTCCGGCTAATGAAAAGAAAACAGGATTCCACTGAGTCTCCTGTCTACCTCCTCTGAGGACCAAGTGAGATGGGCCACGGGAAAACGCTTCACAGACGTTCGGTTACAGTGTAAAGTGTTTCCACCTGGCTATAGAGCAAGCCCTGTTCCTGGGCTGAAGAAACTCCAAGGAGGCTAGTGGTCACTAGGGAGAGGAAGCCGGGCGTTGCTTTGTGACAGCGTTACCTGGACGGACAGTTAGCACCTTAGCCTTTTATACAGAAGATGCATCAAAGAGGGCAGCCCTTGGGCTCGGGCTCTTGTGCTGAATGCCACGGAGCAGCCAGGGTGAGGTTTTCCAATCTTGGTGGATGGTCAGGGTAAGAAGGCCCAAGAGGGTCCTTAATTTCTCTTTGCCTGTAAATTCTGATTCACGGGCTCCAGGGATGAGGCATCTTGGGAGCCTGCCTTCTGCCTGCCACACCACGCTTTCACTGCGGCCCTTCCTGCTTTGTGTTTTTATCTCTCCCTTCTTCTCTGAAATAAAAATGCATTAAAAAAAAAAATACATAAATACAATGGGGATGGCGTAATACCTGCTCCTTCGGGTTTGGGGAGGAGAATGCCTGTCTAATCTTGCACACCCCGGGGCAGAGCGCCGGGTTCGTACCTCTGTATCCGTTTGCAGAGGCGGGAGGCGGCTGGTAGGCGCTCCTGGTTGTGGAATCAAAAATCAGCTCTCTGCCGAAACCGGTTTGGCTCAGTGGATGGAACGTCGGCCTAGGACTGAAGGCTCCCAGATTCAATTCTGGTCTAGGGCATGTACCTTTGGTTGTGGGCACATGCAGGAGGCAGCTGATTGATGTTTCTCTCTCATCGATATTGCTAACTCTCTATCCCTCTCTTTTCCTCTCTCTGAAAAATCAATAAAATATATATATGTTTAAAAATCAGCTCTCTGAGCCTCAGTTTCTTCATCTGTGAAGTGGGGACACTGAGTGACAGATGTAAAAGCATCTCTGGCCTGCCACAGCTGCATCTGTCTGTGGTTACGTCAGGTTCCTGCATTCACTCATCCCACTCGGTCCTGAGGTCATTTCCTGTCCCCTTTGTTCCCACCTGCAGTTTCCTGGAGCTGCCTCCACAGGTTCTACAGCTGAGGGCCGTGTGTAAACAGCAGAAGTGCATTGTCTCGTTCAGGAGCTGGAGGGCTGCAGGGGGTCCCTCCTGCCTCTCCCAGCCTCTGGGGTTCCGCTGGCAGTCTGTGGCTCCCCCGTGTGTCCGTCTTACATCCTCCTGAGGACCCCAATCAGAGCGGACTAGGGACCCACTCTACTTCATCCTGACTACACTGACGAATTTCATTAATTTCCTTGCCAAGGTCACATTCTGATACTGAGCGTTACTGGGTTAACACAATTCAACCCATAACACCACCCTGAAGGTTTGTTATCTTGGTCTTCTTGGGGATTTTACAAACTATCAACTGGCAGCCAGGTAGCTCAGTGGGTTGGAGCGTCGGCCCATTTACCAAAAGGTTGCAGGTTCAGTTCCCGGTCAGGACACATACCAAGGTTGTGGGTTCGATACCTGGTTGGGGCTTATGTGGGAGGCAACCAATCAACGTTCCTCTCTCACATCGATGTTTCTGTCTCTCCCAATTCTCTCTCCCTTCCTCTCTCAAATCAATAATAATAATAATAAAAATAAAACATACCCCCAGGTGAGGATTAAAAAGAAATACTTAAAAAAGTAAAGCAGGCATGGTTACCCCCACTAGCCTGGCAGCTCTCCTGGCTCAGCCAGCACCTGGCTCTGGAGGCGCCCAGAGATTGCCGATGGGGGTTGGTGCATGGGGACAGGGTCTTCACGGCTCCCAGACACCCCTTAATTCCTCAGGTAACAGGTCACTGAACCACCAGCACGGTAATCCCATTGTCTTCTGAGGCCGGGTGTTTCTGGTCATTCCCCACCACTCACAGCCCTGGAGGCCGCCTGGCACCTGCTCCCTGCCCACACCAGCTCCACGTTTCAGAGAACCAGCCTCATCCGGAACAGGTGGCAGGGCAGGCCGGGTCGTCACTTCAATTTAAAAAAAAGCCTGGTGCCCCACCCTAGCCAGTGTTGCTCAGTGGGTAGTGTTGGCCTGCGGACTGAATGGTCCCGAGTTCTATTCTGGTCAAGGGCACAAGTCTAGGTTGCAGGCTTAATCCCCAATAGGGGGTGTGCAGGAGGCAGCCAATCAATGATTCTCATCATTGATGTTTCTCCCTCACCCGTCCTTTCTGAAATCAATAATACATTTAAAATAATAATAGTAATAAAAGTCTGGTGCCGCGAGATTGGCTGCTTTTGGTGCCTTGACCCAGCCGCTTGGGGCCCTGGTGGGGGGCTGGCCCCCGCGGGTCCGCCACAGTCTTGCCTGCTGGTTGCTTCTCCCACTGCGGCCAGCAGGGGGCAGCTGAGCCTGTCCTTTCATCCGGTTCAGCTGCAGAGGCTGCAAGATGGCACCGCCTGCCCGACCTACGCAGCTGGAAAAACCCGGGGCAGAATCTGGAGGGCTTGGGTCTGGCCGGCCTTGCTGCCCACATCCTCGCTGAGCAGGTGCCCTGGGGGCCTGGGTCCAGACGCCACCATCATCTTCCCATCCATGATGGGGGAGTCCCTGACTTCTGACCTCTAAGAGCACCAGATACAGGGGTTCCCCTAGGTTCCTCATTCGGTGATGGGACCCACACTATTCAAAGATCAGGATCCATGTCCTGAAAACAGATTCTGCTTCGGAATTTTTAAAAATTTCCTACGAAGTTTTCCTGTCTAAAACGGGGGTTATTTGGGTGAGTCAGGGTGTGTGTGTTGGGGGGGCACACCCTGAGACCACTCATTCCCTCCTGCTTCAACCTGTGCCCACAGGAGCTGACCGCCCAGGTCCTCCCCATCCCAGCTGTCCAGGCTGGCTCTCAGCGCCTCCCTCCCCCACCCATACCGAGCCCTGGAGCTATTTTAAACTACTGGTCACAAGCAATGAATTCCCAGCTCTTTCCCAAGACTTCTGTCTCCTGCCCACTTGACCTTGGCATTTGGCGGAGGGGGTGGTGGTGACTGTTGATTTTCTGGGCCAGTGAGAGCACAGGGCTCCCTCCCTCTCAAGGTCAGAG